TGGTTGAAGGCCATCGCTGTTAGGTTGGGGGCCATCGCTATCAGGTTGGAGGCCATCGCTATCAGGTTGGAGTTGGAGGCCATCGCTATTAAGTGGCAGGCCCTATTGGGTTGAAGGCCATCGCTATTACGTTGGAGGCCATCGCTTCTATGTCGTTGGCGCTTTTAGGTTTGAGGCCATCGCTATTAGGTTGGAGGGCCATCGCTATTGGGTTGGAGGCCATCGCTATGAGGTTGGAGGCCATCGCTATTAGGTTGGAAGGCCATCGCGATCAGGTTGGAGGTCATCGCTCATCGCTATTGGGTTGGAGGCCATCGCGATCACGTTGGAGGTCATTGCTAATCGCTATTGGGTTGGAGGCCATCGCTATTAGGTCGGAGGCCATCACTATTAGGTTGGAGGCCATCGCTAATAGGTTGGAGGCCATCGCTATTAGGTTGGAGACCATGGCTATGAGGTTCGAGGCCATCACCATTACAAGGTTCGTATGCAAATCGCAGTCAGTGGGACATCCATATTATTTGTGACTGTGGTGCATTATCATAGTGAGCATGGAAGCGCAACCAGTTGCGCACACCAACATTTTTTCTCCATTTGATGCCCTTAAGAAACCTGTTATGAATGCAGGTGTGCCATGCTGATTTGATATGTTGATGTGACTGTTGCCTGTTGACTTAAACCCTTTGCTAGTAGGTGGGTCAGCCCATGAAAGTGGAGCTGAAAGATTGGAGGCAAGCCCACGTCAAGGGCCAAGCCTTTCATTTTGGCACTCCTCGCAGACTCCTTGTACAGTTTGCTTGTGGGAAGCTCAGTGCATTCTGCCGCTTGACCAAGGTGCCAAAGCTTTGCTTGACATCATCAGATGAAGATGAGTCTTTCCATGACGCTAAGAGACTTGGCCTGAACGCTTGGTTCTAAGGCACTTGTTACTACTAGTAAGGCACTTGTTTCTAATAGCTTTTTGTTACTACGTTCTTTTTAGTGCTGATATACATTTGCCAGGTATTCTTTAGGTTTTGCAGATTTGCTCAATACCTTTCGTGCAGCTTTGCTTTCTGTGTTCAAGGAAGGCGGTAGCAAAGCTTGTAAAGCAGGATGGTGAAGTTTTTGTGGCCGCTTGCGAGGCTGGGTGTGTTGCCTTTCCCTAAGTCAGTCTGAGAAATACCCCCTGAATACCGGTACGAAGAAGCTATTGTAGCTTAAGTAGCTAACAATGTTTCTATATTCAGATGCTGGGACGCAGAAGACGAAGTCTTCGCATGATTGATTTGATTCGTAAATTTTAACCAAAGCTTAGCCTTAGACTTAGACCTTTTCTCCCCTTCCTTTCTTCTTGAGTAGATAAGGAGGAATGACTGGACGAGACATCGTGCAAGATGGATTCTGTTTCAACAGCACTCCTGTTCTTGCAAACGATTTTCCGTGCACGCTATTGGCTACCTTGCAAAAGGAAAAGTAAGAGACACGAGAAAGGTACGAAAAAAGAAAGGTCAAAAGTAGATAAAGGACAAACAAAGTCGGAAAGGAGAAAACAAGCTGCGATTAGGTTGAAGGCCATCGCTATTTAGGTTGGAGGTCATCGCTTCTAGGGTTGGAGGCTCTGGCTACAAGGTTGGAGGCCATCGCTAGCAAAATGGAGGCCATCTCTTCTAGGTTGGAGGCCATCGCTATTAGATTGGAGGGCATCGCTATTAGATTGGAGGCCATCTCTTCTAGGTTGGAGGCCATCGCTTTTAGCCTTTAAACAGTGCAAGCTGCGTTGTATTTGTTGGAACTTTGGAGGTGAAGAGGCCGCAGTCCTTGGACACAGCACTAGGAGCACCACGCAATCCAGGGAGCCTAGGACACCCTGAAATGACACATGGATGCAAGTAGAAGGACCCAAAGGACCCAAGGAACTTCAACTAGCAGAACTAGCAATCTTGTGCAATGTTGACTTATGTTGACCTGCTCTTTGCACAGTTGTGGACATGTCAGTGACCTGTCATTGCATTTGTGAAGATTTGTGTGGGCTTTGTTTCAAGAAGGGGCGCTTTGCAAGTATTTGAGGTGTAGAAGGCCTTGCGTTTATCTATCTGCTTATGGCATCTTGTCTGCAACAACTCGCCGACGAGCCCAACCTAGCTCCATCATGCATCAACATATTGCCAGTATTCAGAACACATTTCATTTCGGTGAATCGTAGGGAACACCCCACATTGAAGACAAGTGACTGCGCCTGTGCTGTTTGTTTCAGGCACAACATGTCCCAACGGGAATTCTTGCGGCTACTGCCACTTGAGTCACACGGAGCGACGCACGACTCTGGACAAGAGGCACGACCTTCTGGAGATGTGGTTCTTTTGTAAACATCTTATTTTATTACAAGCGAGAGCTATTCATCGAACTCACAAAAATCGTTTTAGGAGGAAAAGATCCAATGTTTCATGTCCATGACAACCTAACTGGCCTACCGGGTGTTTTTCTTCCTTCGACAGTTATATGCGAAGGCCTGGGCACATGTGGAAGCCCACTAAGGAGACCCCTGTCCACATGTTGTCGGCTCGCCGTAGCCTGATTCTATCAGTCTAGGTGACACCAATACAAACACCAGGACACAAACATGACATATAACACGACTATAGCTGCCAAGGCTTGTATGCAACGATAGGCTGTGACAGTAACTTTTCCAGCCATGAAGAATGGACGTTCCATGAGCAGGAAGTTAAAACAGCTAACACCAATGTCAATACATGTGTCACGCCATGAGGAATTGTATTTTGCAATACAATATACTCCATAATCTTCCTGAAGATCTAGTAATTATGTGCAGTGTCAATCACATGGGCTCATGCATGTTTCTTCAAAAGAACCGGGCTTGCTCTTGATTTGCTACAGTAGGAAGAATCACTGTTCCTTGTGAGAACCAAGTAATTGAAGCTGCGCAGGCAACGGGAGTTCTTGAGGTCTTTGGAGGAGGGACAATTGATCAGTGTTCTCCTGCCGCACTTGCAAGCCAAGCTGACCTTGGGGAAGGCGAAGTTGCATTGTGATGGGAGTGGTCTTTATTTGTGTGTCTTTTTATGTCTTTTTGCCTCAAGACTCTGCCGGCTCAAAAACTGTTTTCCTTTGTGCCTGTTTGGTACGTCATGTCCCAGGTGCCAGCAGCAGCCATCCATGTGATCCAATATTTAGAAGCCCGGAAAGACCGTTCGTGGCACGCAGAGGAGCCCGGAAGTCGTGGGAAGAAGTTGTTGGCGATTAGTAACAGGTGCCATGCTAGTAGTAACAGGTGCCTTACTAGTAGTAACAAGTGCATCGCTATTAGAAACAAGTGCCTTACTAGTAGTAACAATGTTTGCTATTAGACTGTTGTTTGCTTCTAGGTTGGAGGCCATCGCTAGTAGGTTGGAGGCCATCTCTTATCGGCTTGTACGGATAGAAACAGCAAAATGAGTGCAAATGTGATGGGTGGAGAATTGTGGGTGGAAACAATGAATTTCGGCAGTATCAACAACTTGCATAGCAAAGGCGCGACATATTATGTCGTTGCAAAAAAAAAGGATCTTCCATCTGGTTACACACCCACGCCTTTCCTTGGAAGCAGGTTCCAGAGAATCTGGATTTGGTCCTGGGGCAAATGAGCCCCTTGTCAGAAAACTCGGCTGTGAGATTTGTTTACAACATTTTACAACCTCCCCGAGCCATCGGTGAGACGTGCCTTTGCAAAACGAATCACTGAGGCTTTTCTTGGCTGATCAGTCTCTTTCCCTTCAAGAACGACCCAGGCTTTGTTGACACTTTAAACTGTTTGCTGCTGGCCTACGCCACTCACATTCCAGCTTATGGGCAGTAAGCTTGCTGCCTGCTGACACTCTCCCTTGCTTCGGCACATTCGAAACCGAGGGGTTGGAACAAGATGCAATATGCGCAGTCTCGCAGTTGTGCGTGGAGAGACGTAGCTGTCGATCCAATCCTGGAATATCAGCATCGTCATTCAACATGGAGTCGAGTTTTACCTGCAACTGTTTTACACGATTGGATTGGCACACTTTCTATCTAATCTGTGACATCTACAGGTAGTAATAGGTCTGTAGAACCGCAGAGAACCTATGGCCCTCTTTGCAGGCTTTGCCATTCAACACATTTTTCCATTGCAATTTCATGAAGCTCTCCGTTGTGTCAGCAATTGTGTTGAAAGAATGCATGCCTGAAGAACAGTAAGCTGCCTGCAAAGTGGTCTCGAATTCAGCTTGACAGAGGCTTTTCATTTGGCATGGGCCAGAGAAGTCCATACTGATGGGCAGAACAATGTCAACAAGTGCATCGGTGCATCGCTACTAGTAACAAGTGACTTACTAGTAGTAACAAGTGCCTCGCTATTAGAATTAAATTAACTAGTAGCTTTTCATTCCAAGATTCATCGTGCGAAACCGATGCCACTGAGTTGGACATTCAGCTGCACATCCTTGTATATCCTGTATCTTCACGTACTCCATATATTGCCGCTTCTTTTTTCGACAAAAAGATTGTGCTGCGGTCCGGATGCCTTGGGTTTTTTGGCAGAACCTATATAGCTTTGAGATGTTTTGAGATTCTATTTTTCTTGGGGGTTGGGCGCGATAGTAGGAAAGGTAGAAGGTAGAAAGTGGAAGTCTTTAAGGAAGACGCTAGGAAGAAGCTAGTCTTTTGAGAAGCTAGTTGGTAGCTGTAGTGCAACTAGATAGCTAGATTTTTAGTTAGTGCTAGTTAGTTAGTTAGTTAGTTAGTTAGTAAGTAACTAGTTAGTAACTAGTTAGTACTGTAACTACTAGTAGCAACATGCAGGTGTTTCAGTTCTTTCAGGTACCGAAACAGCTTCCCCCTTCGAAACACGAGCTTCCTTCAAGAACCCTTGTCGAAAACGGCTCCGAAACGGGTCGAAGGCAACATTATTTGAATAATTTTCTTTGAAGATACTTTTTATTGCCTTTTCTTTTTATTCCTTTCTAATAGCGATGGCCTCCAACCTGACAGCAATGGTGAAGTCAAAATTTTAAAAGAAGGAATACAACATCTTTAGGCTTTATGAGTATTGAAGACTATGAGACATTCACTTGAAGTCTTGAAACAAGAACAGTCTTAAACATTCTATGCCTGCAGGCTGGAAGCTGCACTTAACCTGCTGCGGCACAAAAGTGGGCTCAATGTGCTTTAAATCTGCTAACATCAGCTAAAATCTGATTTCAATTGAGTGTGATGCAGTCAGGCAAGGACAATCATGGATACTTTTCCCACTGAACATTTTCTGCTTACAGCTGTGATAGCAGCCCGTCAGAACCTGACAGGATAGTTTAAGGCTCGGTCATAGAGAATTTGTGTTTTCGTTTCTTGAAGCTTTCCCAATGTCAAAAGTCTTCGGAGAAATGTGGATGAGTGATGGAATCAAGGCTCAACGCTTGATCAGGAGCTTGCAACATGTTGGGTAGGGGTTGTCTGGACCCAAAACTGAAATGCCAATAGACAACTTTAATTTAGTGTTAAACTGACCTTTGGTGCCTTGACGAGTCTTGGAATTGCTGAAGTTCCTTGTTTTCCGGTGTGTGCTGCTGCTTATCCACAAACTTCAGCCCACATTGCTGCGATATTGGCGACAATGAGGTGACATGGATGACAAGGTTGTGAACTCCATGACAGACACATACAGACACTAGACACTGTCATGAAATTGACGACAATGTTGTGAAACCGCTGACCCTCTCCCCATGTGTAGTGTTTTGTGTTGCTTCTACTACGCTACTCAGCCTCTGTAGCTAGTCTCACAGAGCTACCAAGTAGCGTTACCTCTTGTATAGCGCCCTACCCCCGGGCAAAAAAATGAAGATGTTTCACATATGTCTAATACATGTGTCATACAGTCTCAATATGCATGACAGACTCTTTTCTTTGCGGGGACCCCTGTACACACTCCCCGCCCCAACATTGTGAACTCAGCAATGTGGTGGAGCTGATGTCAATATTGTGAAATATAATCACGCTGTGAAGTAGATGACAGTGTGGTGAAATCGATGACCACATTGGAAAACCGATGACAACATGCTGTGAAGCTGAAGATGTGAACATCTTGTGAGGTCCCGGCAAGCTCTCCCCGTTGACCCCATCAGATGGCCTCCAACCTAATAGCAATGGCCTCCAACGACGTGTTGAAATATTGCCCGTCCTTAGCATTGCTTGTGCTTTGATTGGCAGGGACGCAATGGGACAGCCAAATCGCAGGGTTTGGCACCGATTCCTGAACTGCGAGAAGAAAACACGCCAGCAATGGATGCTCTGGACCTTGTACGACTGAGGCACTTCCAGCATTGCTCCTTCTGGGGCTGCTGTCTTGGCAGGCATGGATCAATTTTGTGTGCTGACTCAGCTAAGTTCTGTCAGTAGGTCTAATGACTGTTGGGGCGTTAGCGACCTTGACTTCTGATAATTTACAATTCAACACCCGGTTAATATAGAACCTGAAAATGGACCTCTAGAAGACTCTTAAGTCTAGAAGACTATTTTCTCGACAAAACAGGTGGTTTTCAGGTTTAACGTTTGACTAACCTGGTGTAGATGTTTCTACACGATCTCGATTCGGACGTACAATGTAGAGCATTAACGCAAGCCAAATTCAGATGTACAGGACGAAAACTCGTGTTGTGACCAACAAGAAGCTACGAACGTAGCAAAGGGCATCGCTACTCGGAACAAAGGGCATTACTGCAGCATTCTTGCTATTAGTAACAAGAGGCTACTAGTAGCTAGAAGCTTCCTTGGGAATCGTTGCACCTTCCAAAAGGATCCAAAAGGACTCAACATCCTTTGCGACTCCGTGTCTCAGCGGGAATGTCAAGTGGGACAGGTTTGCTTCCTCGGCTCGCTGGGCAGCATGTTCCGTTCCCGTGGAATCAGCGTGAGCGCCCAGGTGGGGAAGACCTCAGATGCTCCAAAGGTTTGTGCATTGTGGTGTGTGTATTTTACGTAGGAAACACTCCAACCTAATAGCAATGGCCTCCAACCTAATTGAATGCAGAAACCAACTCTGAAAATCTAGGTTGGAACCAAAGGAAATGACAAATCCTTTGCACAACGGGAAACATGACAAAACATATTTACTTAGCATCTAGGCAGAAATAAATGGATGCTCCTTGCCTTAGGTGGACTGAACTTACTCAGTATGCCTTGTTACCCAAAGAACGATTTCTAAACGCAACTTTTATAATCCTTTATAATGGCTTGCCCAATGAACTAGGCTCACTCTAGGAACCACTGCCACTGCAAGTTACAAGAAGCCTTTTGACACGAATTGAAAGACCAAACCATGTGCTCAAGGCGAAGCAGCCGCCTCCTCCTCCTCCTGGCATGAAGACAACTCCCAAGCCTGCTGCTGTGTCAGCCAAGCCAGCATCTGCCCCTTCGCCACAGGCCGGCGATTTGATAAAACAATTTAAGATCACTTTGTGATCACTTTGTGCAAGATAGAAGTTCAATTGAAGTTTTTGAAGTTCTCAAGACTTGCAAGTTCTGAAGTTTCCTCATTTGGCATTCCTTCGCTTCTGTGTTCAGAGGCCGCATCCGACGCCTGGCACCAAGAGAGCGCGAGAACGACCCAACTGCATTCTCGGACAAGGATGTAAATCAGCATGTCCCAGGAATATACAAAGGAAAGGAGATGAAGAAAGCAGGAAAGAAGGGCCTAAACGTAAAGAATAGATACAAGTAAAGAAACAATAAGTAGATACTGTAGAAAATGATAGAAAACCGGAAACACAAGAAAACACTGGGCCCATGCCCATGCTATGCAGAGCTGAGGCGAAAGAGTCTGCTGCAGCAACTTTGGCTAAAACCAATGCCTTAAATCGAAGTGTTTTTCCTTTCTTACCTCAGACGATTTTTCAATTGTTTCTTTTTTCCTTTCCGTCTTGTCATTTACATTCAAGAACTCTTGGAGTAGATGTCAGAAAAATACCTGACATGCACATGTCGGACGACAGTTAGATGAACGGACGAAAGGGTGAGGCAATGGCCTCCAACCTACCAGGAGGATGTTTTGTTGTTGTGTTCAGACAACATCAGACAATGGTGACAGCTTCAGGAGGATGAACTCACAGCAGTGAAGATGGCACGTGCAACGATGTCCACTGAACTAGTGGGCCTTGCGAAGGAGTTGGGCATTCAGGATTGGAATGGATTGGAATTCAGTTGCAGTCGAATGCAGTCAGCATGCAGTGCACTAGAACCCGATTTGTGAAACGATGTGCTCCAAGCTACACCAACAAACTGCAGACTTTAAGAGAAGTCTTGTTAGTAGGAGGTAGACGTCCGACAACTGACAGCTACCGAGTCTTGGCGTTTTGACACGTGGCGACCGACGACGTGACAGACCAACATCACCCGCTCCGACTTGCAGCTCTACACCCTGATCAAGGAGAAGGCTGGAAGAGAGTGATTGAAGATATTTGGGGGAGGCCATCGCCAATAGAAATCGAAAAAGAAAAGGAAGAAAGGTGTAATATAAGATAATATAAGTTTGCTATTGTAGGGATTAGTGCTCGGCGGCCTAAAATCCCGAGCACACTGAAGCGTGCCAGGGCTCGCCCAAGCTGAAGGATTTGGGAACGAATCTTGGAAGCAGAGGATGCCCATAGACCGTTTCGGCCACGAAAATAAAACAAAAGATGTTGGTTCGACTATTTTGGGATGCTTTTTTGGCAGCCAAAGTGAAACTATGGCCGCTGGTGGTTTTCTTCCCCGATATTCGGAGTGGCTTTTGTACTGAGACATTTCGTTGCACTTAGGCGCATGGCAGGAGCTGAGCTTGCCCTCATGATGGAGGAGTCAAACCCACAGGCCCTTCCCGGCCCTTCCCCCAACAACATTGAATCAGAAGAAGGGTCAAATGGTGTGCCAAGATCAAGGAAGCGTCCTTGCTCCTAGTAGCGAAGCCGTTTGCTCCTAGTAGCCACCATCCAATGGAAGATACATCGATGCATCGATCACATCAGCCATCCTAACGGTCAATGTTGTTGCCAGGTTAGCCTCTTTGAGCTCACCATGGGGGCAGCGGCAAAGGCGATTTTGGCGTGTGGACATTTGCAAAAACACCTTTAAACACCTAGTCAGTTTCTTGCTCTTAGGTGGCCATCGCTATTGCTAATAAGTTGGAGGCCATTGCTATTAGACTTTTCATCTTAGAAGCCAAATCAGAAGCCTGAAAGGACATCTAGGAGCCAAATCATGAAGCCTGAGCCCTTCTGCCAATCGGCAGTGGCTACTAAAACTTTCTACTTACAGTAGCTTACTTCTTAGGCTACCTCCTCACGGCCGCCACTGCATCCCCGACTCTAAAAGAGGCCCACGAACCTGAATGCGGCAAACACAAACGGCCAAACATTGTACACTCGTGTGCGACACTCTTGCTGGACACTTTTGCGCGACGCGTTTTGAAGATAACGTTGCCTTCAAATCGAGCTGTCAAAATGAGCATTTCGCACGAGACTTCATGTCGCACGAGACTTCCTGCAAGAGTGACGCGTCAAGTTGCCTCCAAAAGTGACCCGTCAAGTCTCCAAAACGAACATTTTGTATGAGACTTCGTCCACAAGTGTCGCGTCAAGTCAAGCCTTCAAAGCAAGCATTTCGTACGAGACCTCCTCCGAAAGTCAAAGTGAGACATCTCCAAAACGAGCATTTCGATGCGTATTAGACCTCCTCTAAGAATGAAGCGGGGAGCCCCATCAGAGCAAACTTAATCACGCTGCCCTGCCAAGCAGTTGTGCAATCCAAGCCCGCAATCCAAGCCCCTCGAAAGAGCAGCCGCTGACATGCCGATCCCAATAGCAACATTCACCTGCATCAGACGTCGCAATCTCATGATCCCCTGCACCTGCCACACAAACTGCCTCCCAGCACCTCCAACACGCACAAAATACCGCGCTTGCCACGAAAGTGACTATGCCACACCTTGAAATGTCCAGCAAATTGCCAAATTGCACCGCGCCACGCGTTCGGAATGATTTGGACAGTCGCAAAAGCACACCTTCGAGGCAAGCGGTTCAAGAGCTCTCAATGGCCGGCCCAAAGATCACCAGAACACGAGGCGCAAAGTGACCTCACAAAATGCGCAGCACCATCACATTGGAGCATGTTTGGAAATTCCTTTGGGAATGCTTCGTCCCACTAACTCGTCCTTCCCTAAAACGGCCGCCCAACGGGAGAGGGCCTGTTACAGCCGCCGAACTTGGGCGAACGGCGAACGGAACACTTCGGCTGAACGCTCAAGCTGTTGAACTCTCAACATCCATCAACCTCCGTCCAACCAAAACGAAAGAACGAAGTACAACCGTATTATGGTTTAACGAAGCAACGAAGAGTAACGAAGTAAGTGCTTTTCTATTTCAGGGTCTGCTGGTATGCTGATTTGAGGCAAAGGCACTTGAAAAGGCTTTGAGCTAAGTTGCACGGAGTCAAACTTTGAGAATGTAGAAGTCACTTTGCCAAGGCCAAAATCGAGATCGCGGAGCTTGAGACGTCACTTGGCTGACTCTTTCCGCCTGCATTGAGTGACAAGTTTTCGTTCCAACCAAAACTCATTTTGTCCTGGCTTGGTCCAACGGTGATGAAGAAGTAGCATGACCAGCACCAAGACACCCCCGATTCAGGTCCTTGGAAGAGTCTCAGCAGCGCGGGGAGACGCTTCTGCAGGGCTTAAAGGAAGCGATTATGCGAGCGAGTTGTGACTTGAGCATCAGAACGCTGCCTCTTCAATTTGTCAGGAGATTGCTGGGCTTGTTGGTTCATATCTTAGCCAGTCCTTCCTTGCAGTTTTCCTTCGGCATTTTTCCTGTCGCTTACCTTTACCTTGAGGCGTCGGCGGCTTTGGTGGCATTATGCAATTTTTCATGAGCGAAGAGGCAGAGCAAAGCTTCAGAATTGAAACCATTGATGCCTTGAAATCAATGGAAATCAATTCAATGCGTCCGGCATTTCTTTCCAGTCTGCCAGGATATCATCAAGGAGACAAAGCAGAAGGCACTTGATTTTGACTGCTCGTCACTGACCGTATTGCCTAGATCTCGAGAGTCCCATGAGAACTGTAAGCTATATACAGTGGCTTTTTATCATGAGATCATGTGGCCACCCAACTTGCCCTGCATACATAACGGAAAGCCATTTTCTATCTCATCCAGGTTGGAACCACCAAACGCTGAGCCAAATGCTGAGGGCTCCTGCTTAGCATCCGTGGTGGCTCTCGGTTTTTACAAGTAGCAGTAGTGGTGGATGAGAAGCTGCTGATTCAGAGCATGCGCGCTCAATGCCCACAACTAGAAAGAAAGCATCAAGGTTCAAGCAATGAAACAGAGAATGCTCTAAGATGTCAAAATGCAACTTTTGACTGACTCAGCATGCGTCGGATTGCTGCAAATATGGGTTTCCTATCGATTTCATAGTCGAGCTGTGCTATTTAATCAACTGCAATGCCATAGCACGCTCAGCCAAATGCTGAAGGGATTTGGCTGGTGTTGCAGTGGCTTGGCAACATAGCAGCAAGAGGCGGAATTTGGAATTAACTGCGAGGGTGTACGAAGGTTGTTGGTTTGTTGGTACAACAGCTTTTGTGAGGATTGGATGTCCGAAAGTCACAGGTCTGATTAGGAAGAAAGCTAGAAGTTCTGACAATATGGCTGTTGTGCAGAAATATGTGAGGAGCATATGGGAAATACTGTTGGTGGCCTCCTGCTTTGTCAGCCATGCCATCTTTGGCGCTGCAGATTGATGGACATTCTGCTCAGAGTTGGAGGAATGGAAACTCCGTGTCTTACCAGACGCCGCCATGCCAGCGCAGCGCTTGCCCACATTTGGATTTCATCCACTGCAATTTGTAATTGCACTGTGTGAACATGCAATGGAGCTGCTTTGAAACAGGGGACATGGATTGTGGAGGTGTTTGGAAGCTGATTTTGCTAATTTTGCAGTGCGCAGCCTTACACTTTTTATAGGCAAGGCATCAAGTGGCAGATGCCACGCTCTCTGTCACAGACGTGTGTGGACATCACAGCCAAGCACCAATCGTGTGGCGTGGCGGAAGAGGAAAAAAACCGTGTCCTCATGAGAGCTATTGGATGCTATTAGGCAACTTCCTAGGAACCGTTTCTTCATCATGCCGAAGGCGACCTCCTGTGTTCCTAGTTGGCATTGCTAGATTTACTACTCTGCTTCCTCTTACCCTATCCCACCCTTCCCAATAACCAACCCCATGCCCAATCGGATTTGCATTCTGTAGGACGAACTCAAAGGCAAACCATTTTAGAAGCTCAAAAACACTCACCGTGCTGGGGGTCTTCAGCCATAGTAAAGGCTTTGGAGCAGATCGGAGGTCCCGCAGTAGGTTCTGGCTTAGGTTCTGGAGCAAGTTCTGGAGGAGGTTCCGGAGCATGATCCGGGGCGAGTTCCCAGAGCAGGTTCCAGACGAAGCCCTGGAACCATTCCCGAGCAAGTTGGGGAGCAAGTGCCGGAGCAGGTTCCACGAGGCTGGAGAGGAGGCCGAGGAGCTTCAACAGGCAGATACTGTACGCTGTGTCTCTCTGGTTGAGGTGCCATGCCGACAGCTGACTTTGACATGTCATGCTCGCACGCTGGCATGGGTCACGTTGTCATGCTGACGTGCTGTCACGCTGAGATGCTGAAGTCGGGTCATGCTGTCGTGCTGACTTGTAGAGTGCAGAGCGGGTTCGGCAGCATGTTTGTTTCTTTTGTTTGGCGTTGCGTGTCAGCGCACACTTGGACACATGATGTGTGTCATGCCGACGTATTGCCCTGTTGGTGTGCTCACGTGGCACATTGACAAGGCTCACACTTTTCAGGACCGCGTTGATTGGCAGAGGCACGACGCTTGTTGGTGAATTTGCGAGGGTGCCATTGTTTAGATTGATGCCCAACTGTTGGTGATTTAGGTTTATGATGCGAGAAAATGTATATGTAAAGGCACTTGATGGCACTTGTTGCACAAGAAGGCAACGCAAGGATAGGAGATACCAGGCATATCCGGCCATTCGGACTTCATCGGACTTTGGTTTCTTGCTGACTTTTGGTAGTCGACGTGGAGAGCAGGCCTTTGGTACAGACACGCTGCTGCAAACATTCGTCATGATCACGGGTCAAGCTGCCTTTTTTGCTTTGAGGCAGAACATTTTGCCAAAATACTAGTTTGGAATTGACGATTATCGAGTCATTCCTGCCGATATGTCTGTGATAAGTTTCAGAGCTTTCGATAGCAATGGCAGACAAGAAAGGCATTTGCAAGTCGGAGACAAAATCGTGTTGCACAGAATGGCAATTGGACACGGACACCGGTTCAGACTGACGGCAACCACAATGTCACAATGAACGACGTGCTAGAATTGAATGATGCCATGATTGCAAATTGCACATGATTCCACTGTCTTAATACACAGATTGCAGCATATTGCAGCTGTCAGCGACGCTGCTTGCAACAACCGATTTTCCAGCGGCCATGCCGGTAGACTGCCACAGCAACGTGTCAAGTCATGCAGAGGCAGCAAACTTCACACAGCACACGCATGTTGGGTCTTGCCATTCAACAGTTTTCCCTGTAAATTTCATGCACAAATGCTGTATCTTGCAGCATCATGGTGGGTGATCACGGTGTCACGTAAGTTATGTGTGGTTAGTTTTTCAACTGGCAACCTTGACGCGCATGTTCGAGGCTTCTGAACTACTTTTCCCCAGAAGATGCCGAGTGGCCTCCTTGGCATGTGGGCGGACGCTACGAGGCACTGGACAGTATGGTGCAAGAATGGCACGGTTTTCTGAGTATCCTCCTCCTCCTCATCCTGATCATCATCCTGATCATCATCATCATCATCGAATCATCATCGAATCATCATCGAATCATCATGGCTTGCATGAACTGTGTGTGAGTCACTTCATTAACCATTGATTAGCAAAGCCACAGTTCTCATTGACAGGTTTGCTGACTTTGCATCTCGCTTCGACTTTGGCTCATATTGGCTCAAGGACTCACGGGCCTCTGTTGTGGAGCAACGTTGCGCGGAACAGTTCTTCCAGTCCTACCTGATCGACGAAGAGTGATGCTTCGACTTCTTGCTGTGGCAGTCTTTTCCGGGGCTCTTGGAGAGCAAAACGAAGCTGAGCTTTTCCAAGAGCTGAGTCTGCTGAAGCAAGCTGTGGCAGAACAGCAGCAACTCATTGAGGCTCAACGAGTGAAATTGGATGACTTTTCAGGCAGCCGCAGGCTGCAATTGACTCAGACGCAATACGATACAGAAATTGCGACCATCGCTGGGCTTCAAAATGGTATGGTCGGTGCCTTGGATTCCGCTTGGCTTTGCCTTTGCGGTGCATTGGTGATGTTCATGCACGCCGGCTTCGGCATGTTGGAGACAGGGTGCTGCCGGGCCAAGAATGCCTCTAACGTTTTGATGAAGAACTTGGTGAACGTTTGTGTGGGCACTCTTGGCTGGTGGTCCCTTGGCTGGGCCTTTGCATATGGAGCAGAAGCACAAACCAATGGCTTCATCGGTGCCAGCGGCTTCTTTGGCATCGGCTTCTATACCCAGGATGAGACGACAGGAAATATCACACCAGTTCAGTGCACCGCAGATGGCTGTCAAAGCACAATGCTGTCTTGGTTTTTCCAATGGGTTCCTTTATCTAATTTCAGTTCGCATCATTGTATCGTCTATTTGTTGTTTCATGTATTTCTTTGCTTCTTAACATGTCTTCACACGGCTTGATGTTGAGCTTTTGCAACATGTTTTGAGGCATTCTGCACTGCTGGTGCCACTATCGTCAGTGGTGGTGTTGCTGAGCGAGTGAAGAGTCCCACCTACGCCGCATATGCCTTTGTCATGAGTGCCTTCATCTACCCGGTGATCGTTGCCTGGACTTGGGGCTACGGATGGCTTTCAACTGTCTTCGACGTGGGGTGTTTGCCAACATTACCCTGAAACAGACACCATTAAAACATATTAAAACCAATGACATGGAACTCAATTTCAATGACTGATGGATAATATGCAAGTGGGCGCGAAAAGTGTGTCGAACATGTCTGTTTTTGAGCTTTGCAAATGCCGCTGCAAATGCTTTTAAAGTATTGCAGCTTGTTGCGTGTTTCTACTAGCGGCCAAATGACCCGTCAGGTGGGCTTCATGGACTTTGCGGGAAGTGGCGTTGTGCACCTGACGGGTGGGGTCTCTGCCTTGGCTGGGACTGCGGTCTTGGGCCCGCGCAAAGGTCGCTTCGAAAATCCCGAGGAATTCGAGGCTCACAGCGTGACACAAAAAGAAAGGAAAAGAGAAACTAGAACCAGAGCTTTAGTGACACAAATGATGACACACATGTTGTTTCTTAGACCTTTTGGCATCTTGGAATCCTTTCGACTTTTCCGAATTCCAGGCACACAACCTTCCCCTCGTGGTGTTTGGAACCTTTGCCCTTTGGTTCGGCTGGTACGGCTTCAACCCCGGCTCAACCTTGGGCATGTCAAGCGGCACCACCGGAGCATTGGCAGCACAGGTGGCCATGAACACCACCATCTCTGCCGCTACTGGAGGTATTTTTGTCTTCTTGATCCGGGCCTTTATTACCAAGAAATATGATGTCGGCGGACTTTGCAATGGCATTTTGGCTGGTTTGGTGTCCATCACAGCCGGGTGTGGGAATATGGAATGTGGCTGTGCCTTCGCGACCGGCCTTGTGGGTGCCCTCGTGTATCAAGGTGCTTCTACCTTGTTGGTCAAGCTGAAGATTGATGACCCTGTGGACGCCAGCCCCGTCCACGGCTTCTGTGGCATTTGGGGTGTACTGGCAGCCAGCTTTTTCGATTGGGGCAAGGGTTTGAACTACTACCATGGATGGTCCGGCTGGTCTTGCATGGCAGCAAATGGAAGCTGCCGCTCAAACATGGGAGGCACTGCTATTGCAGCAAACATTGTCATGATCCTGATGATCATCGTTTGGGCCGGCCTGCTCTCAGGTGTGACCTTCTTCCTGTTGAAGAGAACACGTATGCTGCGCATTGACGAGGACACTGAGGCAATGGGCATCGACATGAGGTCCCACTCGCCGCCCAAAGCATATGCCCTCACAACTGCTCCGGCAGATGGTGTTGGTGCCAAGGAGCACTCACCTACGAAGGCATACCAAGCCCCCGAGACTACAGTCTGAACGCGCTGATGTTGAGGTCTCGTAGGTAGAGTTGAACAGCACAACTTGGGTGTCTCAAAGCAGAATTCTCAACAACATGTCTCAGTCTGCAGAAGAACATGAACAAACTATTGTTGTACTGCTCTAATTGAGACACCGCACTTGACTTGCATAAAGACTGACCGTTACACGTGGACCAACGTGGACAAAAACTGCTTGTTACAAGTCGGATATGGTCCGAGCCAGTTTTTCAACTCTTGTGTGCTGGACTCGCCTTCATTGATCTACTGATGCAAACATCCGCATGTGTCAGGTCATGCGGCCGGTGGACTTGATCCATCGTACAGATTCACCTGGCAACGTTTTGAAGTTGACACCACAGACTATCGTGTTGGTGCTTTGGCAGGGAAGTATCTGGCCCTGGCAAGGGGTAGGGCCAGAGTCACTAGCTGTATGTCTTTGAGATTCCCGTTTTTGTTGTGTTTTTTTGAAACTGTTGACTTTCAAGAAATCTGGGCTTGTGCAACTTGTGCGATGCAAGACTTATATAAACATTTAACATGCCTCCAGGAATTCCATGGAATTCCCAGGAAGAGTTTGTTCAGATTTCTGGAGCAAGGAGTCTTACCAGTACAGTATGGGAACCTGTTAGGCAACATCGCAACAATCGACCTATCAATAACACTAGTATAACCTTGCAGGTGCTCACATGTGTGCTTTTGAACGTTTTCGAACGTCGAGGTAATGGCAGTTCGTGTTGTTCAAGATGATGCCGAAGAGGCGGCAAGCCAGCAAGCTGGTGCTTGACGATCTATTTGACTATCTCACTATCTCTTCTTGTAATTGTCGCTGTCGGAAAACATCGGGGCTACCAGATTGGTTAACTGAGGTCATCATAGGTTACCTGGCGGACACCAACATCGACCCCAAGAGAAATGATGGCAGGCGGACATGGGTGGATTTCGACTAATTCAAGTGAGATGCAAAACAAAAGCATACGACTGCTCCCTTTTACGAAAGCAACATGAAAGCATATACTATATTGTCAAGATAAATGACCTAAGATAAACTCAATAAAAGGCTATTTGAGCATATACTGACGCTTTTGGTCCTTTTGGTATTTTTTTTTCCAGCCGTGGAGGCCGCTTTGTGGTTGGGGACAGCTTTGGCACCCAAAGGATGGGCCAAAGCTGGGCCGACGGGCCCTGCAGAGCTGGGAGACGGGAGGTTGTCGCTTGGCGAAGCGGGGCTTGGCGGGCGCGATGCTATGGTCTAATTTGATGCATTTGATGAACATCATGTTTTAAACATATGTTATGTGAATTTATGTGACCTTTGTTTCTCGTTTGTTTGGTTATTTTGTTCTTTAGACCTTTGGACCATTCATGTTTAGTTTATTCCTTTTTTTCCTTTACTTCCCTTTCATTTCATCCTGAGTTTTTCCTGCCCACCACCACTGAGCATAGCCATTTTCAGACTACCTGTGGTGCCAAACACAGCGTTTTGCTCGCTTCCAGTGATTGGGTGAACAAATGTACGCCTTTGAATTGAGATTCATAGACTGCCAAGATTCTAGTTCTTCAGTCCAGGCAAGGCTAGGGGTTTATTTTTTGGGATTTGGGTTGGCCTTTGAAACAGAAGGCTTTCCAGATGTACTCTCAAATGTTGAAGTCGTGGCATTCAATTTTTGAAGCGTTTACTTGGGGATCTGAATCTATAGAAGTCGTGGCGATGTTGCGTTTAGTTGGGAGAAGACAAGGCAGCAGCGGCAAGCAAAACGACGATCAAGCAAAACGCCTATCGCACAGGCAAACGAGTGGGGAGGCAGGTGGGGAAACAAGTATGGAGACAAGGCAGCAGCGGCAGGCAAAACGACAATCACAGCAGACAAGCGGGGAGACAGGAAGGAAGGAAGGAAAGAAAGAAGGACAGGGGCGAGAGCATATACATGATGAGGATACTAGAGGCTTTCAGTCTGAGGGCTTTCCTTGGTGGCACGGGTTCTGACCTCGTTCACCCTCTCATTCATCCTCGCTCCGGTACCTCTGCAACTTGTGTGGTTCAAGTAAAGTGTCCAGAGCCTGGTCCAAAGAGATGTCAAGGGACCACAAGATACCACCAGGAGATTAACATCATTGCTAAATCAGTGCGTTTCCGTGCCAGAAGCTTGTTGTGAGTGCATGAAAACTGTGCTTCGGATGGAACTTCAGAACACATCAAAAACATTGCCAAATCGTCGCGTTTACATGCGGGAACCTCGTTTTTGCACAAAACGGCTATAAGTGACATTTCTACATGATTGCGGTTACATGCGGGAACCTTGTTTTGAACACATGAGAACTGTGTTGGGGAGAACACACCAAAAACATTCACAAATCATCGCGTTTACATGCGGGAACAACGTTTTTGCAAGGACTATGCCGGACCCCCTCTTGGCGTCGCGTTTACAGTGGGGAACGCAATTTTTTCCCAGTACGCCGTGACTTCTGCGGCTGAGTGCACAAGCCCAAAGTCAGGAGTTTGTCCTTACATTCACAAGCTGCTCAGTCCCATTTTTCCTTTCGCGCTTACCTGGAAAAAAAGGACTTCCCGGTGAGGGTGAGCCAACTCACTTGGGGACTCACTTCGTAAATGCTGCAAAACCACTCTGAACTATACAAGTAAGAAACCATTGGCAAGTTTCGGCTCAAACATTGCGGATAATACTCATTTGCAGCCGCGGTCCTAAAGGAACTTCTGGTTTTATCTTGAATCTTAAAGGCCATCAGCACCCAGCCTGTGGGCACCTTCCTGTTGGGCCTGTTTCCTAATAACTGTTCAAAGGGATTGCGTCCTCAACAACATCATTGGCGCTGGTTTGATGCCAGCCGTTCTGAATATATGCATTTGGTCGAAATGAAGCTGCGACTCATTGCATAGTTGCGATGGCCTGAATGCATCTCAGACAGCGTGGAGTGTTTGCCAAGCACATTGGCACCTGTGGGTTCAAGCATCCCGTATCCACGTAGCAACTAGCAGCGTACAGAGAATGCATATCTATTTATACAATTTGTTTGCAAAAGGCCGGATCCCACCAACACCTAGTTGTGTGTCCTTGGGCCCAACCCACCCAAATCCTCTCTCGGCATCACCGCACCTTCAGCATCAACTAGTCAAGTGGGTCGCCCCGTTGCCCCTAGTAGCGTCCTTGCTCCTAGGAGCGATGCCCTTTGTTTCTAATAGCTTCTTGTTACTACTAGTAAGACACTTGTTTTTACTAGTAAGGCACTTGTTCCTAGTAGCGTCCTTGCTCCTAGTAGCGATGCCCTTTGCTCCTAGTAGCAAAGGTCAACTGAACATTCAGGGTCCGCCGTTGCGATCCATGTTTGTCTCATATTTGTCCGCATTTTTGTCTCGGCCTGGAACCTGAGGACATTTGAGGAGTTCAGTTGCTCCTTTTGCCCCACTTGCTCGACCTGTTGGATCCATGCAGTCACTGATTCCATGGCTTTTGCTTGTCGTTCCCTCTCCTTCCGTAGCTGGTGGTCCGCGGAGTACTGGTGGTGGAACTGACTCTTTCTCCTGACTCTCCGCAACTTTGGAGCTTTCGCTGCGACAATTCACCTTGTCCTTGCTTTGACTTCGCAGCTTTGGTCGACCTCCTTTTCTTTGTCCACTGCACTCCCCTTTCGACCACCCTCGGCAGTATGAGCAATGAAGCTGCCGGTAGGACATTGAGACATTGCAACGCGTGCAATGCTGCATGTCGTTTAAGATCAACTGTAGGCCGACATCACCACTTTCTTCACCCTCGAACCTTTTTAGTGGTGGGTGACGGCCTTTCTGAGCTGCTTCTGGCTCGCCTTTGCCACCAAAGCCTTTTGGTTTAGCATAGCTGATGCCTTCAGTGCCAAGTCGGCTCCACCGACTTTCTCTGAAGGCGCACCAGGGGCAAGAACACAGATCAGTCATGGAAGAATCAGCTTGCTCGGCAAACGGCGCTCTTGCAAGCGCCTGAGGCAAGCGGCGAACATAAACCTGACCTACTGTACCAGATGAAATGCCCGAACATCCAGAGCCGAACCTTCCCTGTGACATCTATTCAATCTCAAAACAAATCTCACCGCGTGCGTCGGAATGCCAGATGTTTCAAAGTCACGAGTTTGCTAGATCCAATACTGCAAACGTACTGCATAGTTCTCATCGCTGCATAAGCTGAGGCTACAAAGTGGATGGCAAGCCAGTCCTGCGAGTTGGTGCAGAAACTTGGCTACAGAGTGTTTGAAACCACCAAAAGCCGCAAGCCTTCTCTTTCTTTTGTCAATTTGTTTCCAGTTTCTTCTATTATCTTCTATTTATTTTCACTTTTAGACCTTTCTCCTTTCCGTCCTTTCTTCCTTAAGCATTGAGAGGTAGGTGCAAATTGCCTGAAATCACAATGGTTGCTCAACTCATCACAGAATGTAACATCGTGTAATGGCACCCTGCTTGTACGTAGACCGTGTGGACAAACACTTATTGCCTACTGCTGATTGACAACAAAGATGTGTCAGATTTTGCAATCTTTGTCAACCCGCTATCATGTGTTAGGTCCCTCTTTGCGCAATCGACCCATGACTTGACAATCAAGTGCGAAGCGAAGCTAGGTCATCCAAGGTGTGACCTTTCACTGCTGGGGCTTCTTGCCATGTTTCTCAGAACGGGGAGACCCCCCTGGTAAAGGGTCTCATCTCTCCCTCGCTCCATTTCCTAAAAATGGCCGAGATGCTCCAGAATGTGCAGCTCGAAGCAGAATTTCCGAATGACGTAGGTCTTTATAAAGATTTACTCTGGTGTATAAAGTCTTTATAACGCCTTAGTGCTGAATGTTCCAATCACTCGAATGTCATTTCCGCGACCTTTTGATTGGCAAAGGACTTGGAGACGGATGCTCTATGCGAGTTGGATGAGCCAAACGAGGCACTTTGGCAGATGTAGAACTCGGAGCCCGAAGGATGCGGAAGGTTTGGGCATTTTCCTAATAGCAATGGCCTCCACCCTAGTAGTGATGGCCTCCACCCAACCTTTTCAATCCTTTTCACTTCGGTTTGTCAGGTACTTTTGCTGGACCTTGCCCTGGCAGTCACAAAATCCAACTCAGAGCCACGCTTGCGTGGGAAGGCCTCTCCTCAATGATGGGAGTTGTAGTTTCACCAAGGCTTTGATTTAGATATGATATGAACAGATCATTACAGGTCACTAAACACTCAGCTAGAAGAACACTAGGTAGATGAAACGAAGAAGTGTGACGTGGGCTGCAATACGTCTAAACAATATATAGTTGTATAATTACAGCTTCTTGTTTCTATTAGCTTCTTGTTGCTACTAGTAAGGCACTTGTTACTAGTAGCGATGCCCTTGTTTCTAATAGCTTTTTATAGAAACAAATAAGTCATGCTTATGTGTTTAGAAGTGAGGTGACGCTTACTGCAAGGTGCGCACCGATGGTGGACTTCTTGGATGGTTAACCATTGAGTTGCCGGGGGCTCCACCGCTGCTGGACCGCAGATCAAAACGAATAGACATGCCATGCTTAGCTGATATCCAGCTCCTTAACTGAAGCAACCTGTGAAATTCATCCACATCATTCTTACCCATTCTCCTCTTCAGCCTGATTTTGATTCTAAGTTTATCCTGAACCTTTGCTTCCTTATGCGTGTTTCCGCTCGTGTTCTTCCCTATGATTCACTTCTTTATGCAGAATCATGTTGCTTTTCATGCTCTTGCTTGACCTCATGCTTAGTTGATGTTCGGTTTGCTGCTCTTCTGCCGGTATGCAGGTATGCTGCTGGTCGTTGTGCCGAGTGCGATCGTCAAGGTCTCTCTGTCTACATCCCATCGTCATGGCCTCCAAACATCTCCACACTCATTGCAATTAGGACGCTATTAGGTGGAGGCCATTGCTAGTAGGTTGGAGGCCATCGCTACTAGTAACAAGAAGCTACTATATAGTTGTCTTGTTTTTCATTCTTTGGAGTTACTAATAGCAATGGCGTCCACCCTAAGAGCGATGGCCTCCAACCTACAATTTCTATCTTGGTTTTCACCGCAAATCCTCCCCGGCCTACCTTTCGCCCACCTCCCTCCTGTCAAGTTTGTCATAATGCTCACAGACGGTCCAAGAAACCAATCAGCGATTAGGGGGGAAAACATGAACAAACTAAGATTTTTGCGTTCTTTCTTGAAAACTAAAGTTTTGCATGACACCGGAAAGACAGTGAACGTCTAACCTTGATCCTGTGCAGGTTGCTTCATCGCGTGAATCTTCTTCGAAAAGATGCGCTTTTGGGCATCTTCGCCGCAACGCAAGCTTCAGATACCAAACATGTCAGAACACTTTTGGAAACTGTAACAAGTGGTTTTGAAGCAGGCGTTCTTGTTCGTAGTAGCAACGGTTAGAATTGTCTAGATCCTCCAACGCTTCTCTTGAATTTGATGATTTCAAAACACCTTAATTTGACTGCAAAGACTGACGACAGTGATTGCAACAAAGCCGTTGCGGGCATTGTGGCCACAAGACCGTTGCATGCATTGACCACACCTTTCACCATGCTTGATTCGAGTTTCGTTGGATACCATATTGATCGATGAGGCAACGTTCTTCAGTCTTAGAAACTGTTACGCACCCTTTAAGACGGGATCTGACGTCTCGAAGCCTCAGGACAGATCAGTCCCTTTCCGGTGCCGGTTTGTCTGGACATGGCCGTTTGCAAAGAATCTGCGCGCCGTAGCTCTCGACGAGCACCAGTGGTGGGGCCCAGCGACTATCCATGGGACATAGGCGTGCGACTGATGCGATATTATTGATGTATTATGATCACAGAAATAATCCAGCTCAAATGCAGGGTTATACATGTACAGTCATTCTCACGGTGGTCCCTACTACATTTTGGCTCAAGGAGAAAAGAAGCCCGCGGAGCTCCCGCTAGGTTGTTTCGTTTGGGTTTCTTTGCCACTTAGCCTTTGGACCTGTTTTCATTGGGTTATCAGCCGTACTGGCTTTCCCCCTACATACTTTCCCTTTCCATATATTCACATTTTACCCTCGCCCGCGCGGTGCCATTTCTGAAGTCTTCAGCCGATCCTTTGGTATTTGAGTTTTCTCGATACGCTTGGTTGATCGCGTCGACGAGTGAATGCATACGAGGCGTCCGAGACCGAGGGGCGGCAAGAGTGCGAAGCGTCAGAAGCGTCGGAATCAATTCGCACAGGGCTTTAGCAATCAGTTGGAGAACATCTTGAGTACCGCGGACGCGACTCAAACTTCTTCTGATCTTGGAGCGGCGCCGCAGATTCATTCGTCATCTTCGAGTTCCGGGGTTGTTGCTGTGCCTAAGCCGAGCGCTAGTGCTAAGTATCAACCAGCGAAACCTTCTCAGAAAGTGGGTCCTTCTTCATCGGTGCGATTGGTTGATTTTCCCGACAGTGCCTTTGTTGAAGAGATTTCATCGGAAGAGGAGGTTTCAGTGAGCAAGGAGGTAATCGAAGCTGGTGGGACGGAGAGTGACTACATCTCAGTGAGGCGGCTGAGCGAAGTGTCACGTGGTGTTGATCAAGCAGTTTTCGACTTGCCGAGGTGGATTTCCGGAAGCGTGATTGTGAATAAAGTTGCGTTTCGGGACGAGCAAGGCGAATTCTATCTTGATTCGGCGAGCGATTTGTTTGAGTCCTTGAAAGGTTGCGTGGTTCTTGACCTGTATAAGACGGTGATTTTTCCGGAGCGACTTTCATCGAGAGATTCAATCAGACTTGCAAAACACCGGGGCGAATTCCAGACGATCGAACGGGGGACGCTGTCGTTTATCTTTGAGCTTCAGAGGAACGGGTTCACTTTTTGCGCGTGTTCTTTCATCGGAAAGGCGGCAAGTGGTGAGTACATTGAGGCTTTGATTCAGAGCGAATTGGCAGCAGTCATTCCTGTGATCTTTGTTATTTACAATCGCGATCAGAAGGCCAGTCTTGCAAAAGAGCTCAGTGCGGTAGCTGCGATTGACGATCAGAGAGAGGTTGTTCGGCAGTACCGGGATTCTGGTATCTTTGCGATTGAAGTCAGGCGCGATTTTGGAATTGCAACTCACAAAGAGGAGATCATTCGGCAGTTGCGTGATCAAGCTGGTGGTCAAGTGGATCGTGAGGTGAAGCCAAAAGGAGTCCCATCGGGTTTGGTGAAGGATCGCAAGTGAAAGGGATTGCAGGTGGAAGGGGTGCGTGAGTAAGAGATCATACAAAAGACACAATGTCAACAAATCAGACATCCAGTGGTTCGAGCGAATTGCATTTGGCAGTTGCAACAGTCGACCAATCCATGGTGAGTTCGGTTGGGGATGCATCTCAATCAACTAGACACCGTGACCTGGTTCCAAGAGCTAGGGATGAACACAGGGTAGCAAACCGCAGGTCGAGGTCCTTAGGTCCGTATCAAGCCTCGGATGGTGCCAGTGATGTGTCAGGATTGGAAGCTGGTAGATTAGTCCCTTTTGATTTGGATGAGGAAGAACATCGATTGAGCAGGGTAGGTAGGGTCCAAGATTTTGCCAATCCCAGTCAAGGTCAAGGTCAGAGGGTTTTGCATGCGCAGAGTGCAACCTTTGTTGATGCTAGATCAGTCGATGCCAGATCCATTCAAGTAGGAATTAGCCCAGAAGCAGCCCAACAGTTTGCCGATACAGTTCGTAGTGCCACAATTGCAGAAGCAGAGTCAAGACATCACCAAGTAGTTGATGAAGTTCGGAGGGTTTCCAGTCAAGCAGCTAGGAATGAAGCTATTGTTGAAGCTGAATCACGCCATCAACATGTAGTCCAAGACATGGCCAGAGCATCCAGGGAACATGTCCAAGATGTTAGTGCCCGTGTTGCTAGTGACGTAAGAAGCCAAACTTTAGCAGAGGCAGAAACCATTCACCAGAGGGTGTTGGCTGAAACCATCCAAAATGCAGAAAGGGTTCATGCCCAATCGGTTGAAGATGCTAGGAACCAAGTTCAACGCAGGGATGAGTCAGTTATCCTTGAATTGCAGAATCAGGTCGCGCATCTCACTCGTCTCAATCAGGAACTCGTGGGAAGATTGCAAGCGGCAGAGAGCAGCGGTTCATTCCGCGCCCTGCCCGCAAGCGGAGGTCAGGTTGGAGCAAATCCAGGGTTGGGACCAGCAGTGCAGAAACCACCAACACATCAGCGTGACGAATCTTTTGATTTGTTCGGTGATGATGAGCCGGCCAGTGCACAATCTGAATCCCATGGTTCTATCAATCAAGTTTTAGCTGTTCTTCAGGAGGAAGTCCAGACCTTGAGAGAAGAGATGAGTAAGAGTAAGAAAGGAAAGAGTAAGAGGAAGTCTACTCCATCCAGCGTGTCTGCAAGTTCATCTTCATCATCGGATCATGACCCCGAGTATGAGAACGAAAGAAAATTAATGCGGTTGAAGGCTTACGAGAAAATCAAAGTCCCCAATCTACCGAAGTCAGCTGCAGAGATGAGGACATGGAAAAATACACTGATTTCTCAACTGGTTGCATGTTGCAGAAGCAGCGAGAAAGAGTTGCTAGCATGGCTCAGTGGCCCTCTAGTCGGTGAAGAAGAATCAGATGTTTTTCCAGTTCTCAATCGGGTCTTAGGATCTAAGTTGCTAGAGGTTGCAAAAGGTGGATGGTTTGGGGTTGATTTCCAAGCTCTTCAGGAGAGAAGTGTGCGTTTGGGAAAGCAAGTGCAGGGTCATTTGTTGTTGGGTCGAATTTGCCGAAAGTTTCGTCTCGACAAAGAGCGTGGAATGAGTCTGAGTCAGCAACATCTACTGGCGTTGAAGCCCCAGGGTGTGGAGATCAAGGATTTGGAAGTCTTCAGGGATCGGGTTGAATTCGTGCTGTCAAGCCTCGAAACTTCGGAGTATCCTAGTGAAGCAATCCTTAGGACTTGGATTTACGAATGCTTAAAGAATGTCCCAAAGCTAGCGTTGAAAATTGATCGGTACAAAGAAGCAAATGCTGGTGACCCTATCAGATCATTTCAATGGTTATGGCAATCCATGATTGACTGCATTGATGAATCACAGCATGATCATAATACCGCATCAATCCTGAATGCTCTTCGCTCTAAAGTCGATGCAGCAGCCGCTTCCGCAGAGCAAGACAAAAAGAAAGATAAGAAAGTCAAGAAAGAGAAATCAGATTCGTCCAAAGAAAAGACAAGTGTTGATGTTGCAGCTGCCTCGTCTTCAAAGGCTCCGCCCAAGGCAAAAGCCAATCCTAAACCCAAGTCTTCATCCTCAAGCCAAGCTAGTGGTAAGAAGGGGGATAAGGATAAGAAAGACGTGGTTGCGGGTGAGAAAGGTACACCATGCCTGTTTTACCCAAGTGGCACTTGCAGGAGGGACCCATGCCCATTCGTGCATGACCCAGCCGCCAAAGCTAAGTCAAAGGCCAAGCCTAAAGCTAGTTCAAGTGTCGCTGCCGCATTTGCAGTTGCTGCAGGAAACCTGCCATCGGCCGCCTCAGCAGTTGTCCCAAGGATCGTTAAAGCTGTTGTGACGTCTTTTGCATTGATGTGTAATCCCGGCATTCCAACTCCTGACAATCAGGTCCAGTCATTGCCAATGCAATCGTGTGAGGTGCCGTTTACCAGCTTCAATGCATCAACCGGAGAAGTAACTTGGTTGGGTGACACCGGTGCTGGCCGCAACATTGGGGGGGGTTAGCCAAGTTGATCCTGAAATGATTGGACAATCCAATTTGCCAGTTACTTTCTCAACAGGTGGTGGGCGAAGAGATGGATCTAATTCTTGTAGAGTGGTTGGTGAACTTTCTGGGTCAAATGAGTGCTACTTGCTGGAAAACAGTCCATGGGCTTTGTCCATAGGTGATCAAGTTCGGCAAGGGAAAGCATTCGTTTGGTTGCCACGTGATAGCCATGATGTTTCTGAGGACGCTGAGCTGCCAAAGCCATTTCTGGTGAAGCCCAGTAACCTTAAGGACTTAAAGGTAAGTTGCCCAGAAGCATCCCGCTTTTACGCCAGTGAAGTTCGAGAAAACGTCCCATTGTTCAAAGAAAGGGTGAGTATTCTGCATATGCCCGGGGAGGTTGATGAAAAGAATGATTTAGGTGATTCGTCAAAAGCCTTAGACGAAGAGTCTGATGGGTATGAGCCAAGCTTAGCACCAGAAGGCGCAGCAGCGCCGCCAGACGAAGAGGCTGTGGAGCATTCGTCGAATCATTCCATTTTACATCTTCCCAAGAGAGCGGATTGCCCCATTTGTCAAGAAGCAAAGCAAGATGCTGTTCCTGCTAGGCGTGTTAAAGGTGATCGAGTATTAACCGATAGCAAACCTAGTAAAAGCTTTGGGGATAGGATCCATGCAGACCACATCATCGTTGCTAAACATCGGTTGGATGGTTCTAAGAAAGGGCTGAAAGGAGAAACGAAATGCCTGGTTTTGCTTGATGATTTCACTAAAATCGTAATGGCGTACCCAGCAGCTACCAAAAGCACAGAAGAGTGTGTCAAGGCACTCAAGCATTTTGGTGGTAAACGTCCATTGGTGGAATTTCATGCAGATAATACTCCTGAGTATGAGTCGACAGCAAGTCAACTAGGTCTCGTGTATGATGCAACCGTCCCGTACAGGAAAACCACCATCATCAATCGAGCCATTCGCACTCTCGAGGATGTCACCCGGTGTTGTTTAGTACAAGTAGGCAACTTCAATGAATTATGGCCGTTGGCGATTCGTTATGCAGCTTCGGCCTCAACCATTAGCAATTGGGACAAACTCCATGACCATGAATTTCCAGGTCTTCGCATTCCTTTTGGTGCGTTGATCAGTTACAAACCCAATGCCCCTAAATCCAAACTCGGTGCCAAAACATCAGCCGGTTTGTTCCTTGGTTGGAGAATTGAGGCAGGGATCCAATGGAAGCGCACATATTTGGTTTGTGATGTTCAGAATGTGAAATCATGGTTGGAAGGAAAATCTGGTCTTCAAGTTCTCACTACAATGGTTGTTGTGCAAACTGGTGAAGATAAATTTCCTTGCGTGAAGCCGTGCAAACTGCGTTTGGAGGATGATGTTAGGGCATTGGAAGAAGAGGTGAGTCGCGAGGAAGTTGAACCAGAATTAGACGACACCTTTGCAGACGATCCTTTGGATGAACCAAAAGTCCATTCCAAACATGAAGCCATTACTTTCTCCAGACTAATGCAATATGGTTTCAGTCCAGGTTGTTCAGCTTGTGAAAAGGGAAAGGGAATCCATACATCCAGTTGCAGAGAAAGATTTGATGGGTTAATCAGGGGGGGGTAAGTTTACACTTCCCAAGGGCATTGCAAGAGGTGTTGATTCTTGGAAGCTTGAAGGTGACCTGCTTACTCGATTCCACCATGTGAAACGCAAGAAGCTCTTTAATCCCTTATTGCCTGAAGATCTTCCAGTAAGCGCAAAAAGACTTGGAGCTAGAACCACCGAAGTTAAGTACTTTGAAAGCGGTGTCGAGGAAACAATCCATGATGAGCATTGGAGAGGTAACAACAAATCACTCAAGGAATTTTGGACAGGTCAGACAATTACAATCTTTCAGCTGCATCCCGAGGCATCGGACGTTCCTGCCGGAGCAGTCGAAGCAAAGGATGGTGAGCTGCAGGCTTCGCCGCGCCCCATCCAGTGTGGTAAGAAAGAGAAAAGACTTGCCCAAAAGTTGTTGCCAGCATATGGTGTTATGATAGAGTTTTGTTGTAGCCCACAATCTAATTTTGGAAAGGTTTCAGAGTCCGTAGGAGTAAAGCACATCCGTTTGACAGAAAGCAACGGAAAGGTTTCAGAGCTTGAAGTGCAATCTCAGCTATTGGAAGTGTTGGATTCGGATGCCATGAACGGTGTTGACCTTTGGGGATCACTACCATGCAACCCTTGGTCTAGATGGCAACACGTGAACTGCAAGAAGTTAGGTCCAGCATTCCGTAGGAAGCTAATGTTGAAAAGGTTGGAAAGCAAGAAACTCTTGAAATTTTTCTTCCAGTTGTCCGCAATAATCCTCAGGCGTGGTGGCAGGGTTCACTTCGAATGGCCAACAGGGTGTTCCGGCTGGCAGATTCCAGAGCTTCAGGATTTCTTCAACTCAAACAACTTTCAGCTTGCGCGTTTCAATGGTTGCATGGTTGGAGGCGAATCATTTAAGCCATGGACAGTAGCATCAACAGATGAATGTTTAGTTCGCAGCCTGAGAACCAAAACATGTGACCATAGCCATAAACATGTGCACTTGTGCGGATCAAAGACACCAAAATCAGCATTCTATCCAATGCAAATGTGCGAAGGTATCATCTCATCATTGTTTCCCGAGTTGTATCACAAGTTCGTGCCTTGTATGAGTTGCGAGTCAATCACTGAAAATCCAGTGCATGTCCCAAAAGAAGTTGAGCTTGAGGGAATTCCCATTAGCATTCATGAGTTGATTGATAGGAAGGTCTGGAAGGACGACCCTGCAGCACTCAGTGAAGCTAAGAAGGAAGCTCAAGGTTTGATAGATGCGGGGACATGGGATTACAAGAATGTTGTCCAGAGGCACGAGCTCGAACACAGATCCAGGAAGTCAGGAACGAAGATTGCGATTGGGAAACTCATGACAATTATGAGTTGGAAGAATGCAGAATCAGAAAAAGACAAGAAACTAAAAGCTAGAATAGTTTTTCTTGGCAACAATGTGAGGGACGAGTTTGGTCTTGCAAGTGAATTTCAAGAAATCAAAATCATTCCCACTACAATTGCCGGGCTTAACATCAATTTAGCCTTCGGACTGAAGAGAGGAAACAAAACGACTCAATCAGATGTTACCAAAGCTTATATCCAAAGTGATCTTCAAACAGAACATGACACGTACATCGAACTGCCAGATGAGTTGATTCCAGATCACCTCAAATGGATGCGCAGACCATGCACAAAGCTGCACAAATCGTTGTACGGGCACCCCGAGTCAGGGGGGCATTGGGGTTTGAAGTTCAAAAGCTTGATGACACAAATGAACGGTGTAGAGTCAGCATTATTTCCATCCAACTTTATCATCAAAAAGTGGGGCCTGTTGGTCACATTGTACGTTGATGACATTGTTGTGTCAGGTCCGAAAGAAAATCATCAATTTTTCTGGTCAGAGTTGGAGAAGCATCTTCAATTTGAACCTCCGCAGGAAGTCACAAAGGTTCTAGGGAGAACACACTTGATTCAGGAAGGGGAAGTGCAGCTAGACATGCATGACTTTGCAGAAGTCGCCTGCAAAGTGTACGAACAGGAATGCAAAGAGTTCAAAGGGTTCAAGAAGGCCCCAACCCCGTATCTTGATGAAAGTACACTTCCTATTGATGATTGGGATAGCCAAGGTAGTCTTGCGAGTTCGGCCGCCAGGCTAATCATGAAAGCCTATTGGTTGGCTAGACTTAGCCGTCCAGATTTGCTACATGCATTGAATGAACTCAGCAAACGTATTACCAAGTGGAGCAGAAATGACGACAGAAGGTTGTTCAGGGTGTTTTGCTATCTAAATGGAACAAAGCACTATAGGATGAGGTTGAAACTTGATCCAGATGCAGAATGGGGTCTGTGGTTATTCACGGATGCTGACCATGCCTCAAAGGTAGACCACGGATATTCCACATCAGGGTCATTGCTCGCCATCGCTGGTGGAGGTTCATTCTTTCCTATAACATTTCAGTCCAAACGTCAAACAGCTTGCAGCCGTTCGACAACTGAAGCGGAAGCCATTGCATTGGCTAGTGCATTGTTCAGTGATGCAATCCCTGCACAAGAGTTCATGTCGCAGTTGCTTGATTCACCAATTCCTTTGACATGCCATCAGGACAACACTGCCACTATACAGGTGATCAGAAACGGATACAGTGCTCGCCTAAGACATCTTGGTAAAACACACAAGATAAATGTTCAAGGGTTGTATGATGCTTTCAAAGAACCAGACATAAGCATTCAGCACTGTCCTACAGAACAACAGGCAGCAGACGTGTTCACTAAGAGCCTGGAAGTTAATAAGTGGCAATCGGCCTTAGACATGATAGGAATTTTTGACCCAAGCAAAAGTTGAAATCGCAACAAATGTCAGAAATCGCAACAATTGCCAGAAATAGATCCGACCCTTGTTGAGCCGACCTTGATTAGTTCAGGTGTTGCTTGGCCATTTTGGCCGCTCCTTGGTAGGAACCAAAGCTGCAAGCAGAGGTGCCGTTCGTTGCCCTTGCAGTGTGCTGCTGGCTTTGCCGCGCCCTGTAAGTGTATCTTTCGTGCCTTTGTAAATTAGGTTGGAATATGAGATCAGTTCTCACAAATGAGAAAGTACTGTCACCCTTGTGCGACTGGAGAAGCGGCCAATGCACCCCGAGATACATGGCCAAACTCTTTGTACACAAGCCTTGCGTGCATAGTCCATATCATAATTTGTTTTAGCAGCAACCTAGCCTGACTTGCCTTTCCACGATGACCTGATCGTCACTTTCGATGGCCACGATGAGTGCTTGATCCAAACTTTCGATGGAGTGCCAAGTTTGTGTGGACACCACCCTTTCGAAGGAGGGGGGCACAGAAATAATCCAGCTCAAATGCAGGGTTATACATGTACAGTCATTCTCACGGTGGTCCCTACTACATTTTGGCTCAAGGAGAAAAGAAGCCCGCGGAGCTCCCGCTAGGTTGTTTCGTTTGGGTTTCTTTGCCACTTAGCCTTTGGACCTGTTTTCATTGATGATGTAATCATTTCGTTACAACTTGTACTATTGTCATGTTGTTTTCTTGACGGCGGCTGTTTGGGAACAACAGTACTCCAGCTGTAAACTATAGAGCTTGGGTTTGGGTCTGACAAAGCTGGCGCCTCAGGAGGTGTTTACCGAACATTGGAAAAGGTGAGGTTTGACGAGGGCATTGTTCTACGCGCTGGGAAGTTGGTGCGGGTGGTAGTGACCTGGCTATACAGCTGGCTCGGTGGTCTCATGCACTTTATTCGATCTCAAAACTCTACCCTAGCAGCGATGGCCAACCTACGACTAGTGGCCTCCAACCTGCTCAATTGCTCTGATTGATGCATTTCGGCTGCAGAAAACGACCTTTGCCACCGGCCTCAGGCGATTCGACCGTTTGCTGCAGAATCTCGCGTGGACCAAGAGCAGTTGCGATTGCACCTCCGAGTCGAAACTGGCACTATGGTGCCTTTGCCACAAAAGGAAATTCATAGGGACAGGCGAAAAGAGGAGATTGATGTGGGTTTGTATTGTAATGGGGAAGAAAGTCAGACCACCCAACCGATTCATGGGCTTTAAGTTTGTGATGTTCTTCGCCTTGCCAGGAGTCTTTGGGGGTCTCCAAACTAGTACACTGGATGGAGACTCGATTGGTCACTCCTAGTGTTGCTCCAAGCTATACCTGGTGACTGACAAGTGACGGACCAATCTGCAAGTAAGACCTTTGAACAAGTGGTCCCTCCAACGCACAATATTCATCCATGCTGTCAATGCGCAAGAGAAATCAAGAGAATCTGTTTGTCCAATTTTTGTTTTATCAGTTGATGCTGCCGTTTCACTCACAAGCTTCGACTGAGGCTGGACGAAGTGGTTGGATCACTACTAGCAGCTCCATCAGGAAGGCAGCACTGGATGTCAGAAACCACTTGGAGTTTCAGCTACTTGACTATTTTGTGTTGTGGGGTGGCATTTTGAAGTTCATGACAACATACTGTGGTGGTGTACAGTGAATCAATCGGATGGTTACATCAAAAGTGCCCGTGCTTCCTTGTCAATTGAGTCTGGCTGACAAAGTTGGACCATTGGGATCACACAGCGACATCAGTGGACAGCAAGAGGGTGTTACAATACGATGACTCGTTCAGATACCAATGCAATTGAACCAAATAGAGTGCGCTGGCTACATCATTGCGCTGGGGTAGTCGAGTTTGGGGACTGTCGGCCCATCGTGGGCTTGACAGGTGTTGCCGTTTCTAGTTTTGGCAACGGCACACAGGCCAGGTAGCCACACAGGCCATATACAGCTTCTATTGATGATCAAGTTTCTTGCTGAGGTAGCATGGCACTAATTCATCAAGCATAGGATTCTGGTTGCCTTGTTGGTTCTTGCCTTCTCCTCCCAGGCAAGTTATAGAAGCTGCTGCTGTCGAACCTCCTTCCGAGGTGCACGTTTTCATGTCCAAGCACCATGAGACAGAAAGAGCGATCTCCAACCTAAGAGCGGCCTAGGATATTCAGGAAGGAACTTGAGACGCCAGAGTCTCGCCCGAGGTCCCAACGAAGATAACCATTTGTGTTCATTTGTACGGAAGGGCATCGCTACTGGGAGCAAGAGGACGCTACTAGGAGCATTGATGGAAGACTCGAAGACGCTTTGGCAGGCCTTCACAGTACGGATTGAGCGCTGTGGGCGGGCGTTGGGGCTGCACCTCCGTGGTCTCCATATAGCAACTTGAAGGGTTGAAACGGAGACGTCAAAAAAGGAAGCGTTGGATTTGTGAACAATGTTGTCATCCTATGTTGTCATCCTATTTGTGAACAAGAATAGTTGATGATGTATAATGATGTTGTTTTTGGCGTACTAGGGAGAGCTCAGTAGGGGGGTAGGAAATTCAAGGTGTGGAAAGTTTCCGGTAAGATGTATAGCAAAGTAAGGAGCAGTACTTGCTCGTGATCTAAGGACACAATACTACCTGAAGGAGCATTTCACGAGTGGAACCAGGCCGGAGGCTTCCATGGTCAGGTGATCGCAGATCAGATCTCAACCAACAATAATACTTTTTAGGTTCTTGGTCATTACTTCTCACTGGGAGCAACGAAAGTTGCCTTTAAGACCTTCCCTGTTTTTTTGGAAAGAAAGAAAAGGAACAACGACAGAAAGAAAAGACACCTTTGTTTGTTTCTTTCTTCCAAGAAGACTTTTGAGATTATATGCTTTGGATGCCACAACCGGTACTCATCTAAAGACTTGCATGACTTGTCCGATACCATATTTTCCGCTGTCATTTTGCTCCTAAACAGTCTAGGAACCAAATAGCGCGAGCTATCCTGCATCCCTAGTAGCGTCCTACGTAAGTCCAGCTATCTCTTCCTAGCTGGAGGCGAGCACTGCGCAGAAGGTCAAGCCGGGGGACCGGATCATTGGAGTAAATGGCCTGGATGATCGGTCTATCGAGACCTTGATTCTTGGCGCTCGAGTCTTCCATCGCTCCGTTCGTGTCGTCCTCTTGCTCCGTTCGTAGTACGGCCAGGAGCCCCGAACGTAGCTTCTAAATAGCCAAATCTAATTCTATTATATTCGATGTTTTATGTTTTTATACTTGTCATTTTGTATTTCTTTTTTTCCAGATGACCTTCGGCTGGGCCTTGTCGGGACTAGACTGGGTTCAAGATGGAACAAATAAATGAGAATGGACAGGCAAGCTCGGCATGAGACAACGATCAAGGCAAAGCATTGCATAAATCGCACAACATTTTCCAAGTGGCAAGCAGAGCTGGATTTAGCAGACAGGCATGACAGGCATGACAGGCAGAGTTGCCTCAAGTTCTAATTGGGCGATAGAAGTACCGGCCAAGGATCTCTGAAATGAAAGAGAAGGAAATCCTCTACGTGCACCTTGGCACATGGGATCGCTATCCCAGACAAATTCTGTTCAGCCATGGGCCATGTTCAGCCATTTTTGCACCCAGCCTTGCACGTTTTTGAACTTGAACTCTGTCAGCTGTTTGTTTGTTTTTGGTGTATTTTCACACGATTCGATTGGATAGAACCTGCGTAGCTCTTCATGTTCACTCGCTCGCAAAGCACGATTCTTGTGCATATGTTTGCATTTGTTTGTGTGCCGTACCCCAAGGCGTATCCTTCAAGATGCAGGTCGGAATTTTTCGCTCCATTTGTTAGTCACGAGTCACTTCGGTGGTCCTCCAAGGCCCACAGTAACTTCTGCAAGCTGAGCCACCTACAAACAATCTTGTTCACCGCGCAGCATGCATTCCTTTCCCTGAAAATAGAGGGACACATCACAACAAGGACATTATGATTCATCTGCCATTGTTCAAGGTGCACGGCCCCAAGCTGCCGGCGCTGAGGAGGAATTTCATGCTTCCGTATGATCATCAATTTGGTGGGACTTAGAAGGATATCATTAATCATTCCGAATCTTGAATTGAATGGACTCTATTTCATGGACAAAGGCGAGTCCAGCTTTAAGCTTTTTGGTGAGTTGGAGACCCGAAGGAATTGCGGAAAGGACCAGACCTCGCGATGTTGTACCTCGGCAGAGAGCTTTCGCACACAGAAACTGGGACCAAGCGACAACTGAAAGTCTCATGTTTTTAGGGAAATTAAGAGAAGTGATCAAGTCTCGGAATGCGCAGTGTGCCTCAAAGAGACTTAGGCGCTGCGACTCTGAGACTGTGCTCAAAGAGGACAACTGGGAGAGGAAGGCGGAACATGGTGAAACATTGGGGCACTCGGTAGATGAAGCGGAGAGGCAGTGAGAAAAGGAAGAATGAACCGCACAAAGGAACTTAGGGTGGGGGCCATCGCTCTTAGGGTGGAGGCCATCGCTATTAGGTTCCTTTTGCTATCAGGTTGGAGGCTTTGTTTCTCCAAGCCCGTGCCCATCTTCTGTCGAATTTCAACGTGGCGGTCACCACCCCGAGGATTCATTACCCAACATCACCTGAGTGTTCCGAAGAGTGCTGCACCCTCCTGGGCAATTGTTTTCTCCATTGCTCTAGTTTTGCTAGGCTTGGAGCAATTCATCCTGATGATGCCGTAGCAACCGGAGAGAAAGAGAGCAAATCTGTTGTTTTATGCCTGGAGTTGTGCAAGGAGGAAGCAGAAGCGAGATCTGAGTTGGAGGCGCACAGCCTGGATGACCTAACAAAATTTAATATAGAACCTGAGCGATCGGTGTTTTCTCTTAAGTGAGCTTAGTTGCTTCACCCTGCGCACAGACAATCTTCTGTAGTAATCCTCCCTCAAGCAACATCGTTACCTTCTTTGGACAGTGTCTACAGGTCTGAAGAAACAGAGAAGGAACAAAGAAGCAGAACAACAACTGGTGCTTTTAGAGCTTTTCTAGCTCGATGCCAGGAGCAATGGAGATCGGAGAAGAAGTCTTTGGCCACACCGTCATTCATTGTTGGAAAGGCCCGAGCATGACTGTTGGACATCGCGACGCTATAATATATCTAAGCCTTTGACATGGCCTATTGCTTCGCAGAATTGGGCACGGTTTCTATATGAATAGCAATCAGTAGCAACTAGAAGCTACTAGTAAGAAGGGCATTGCTACTGGTAGCAGTACCTTTCTACTGGCTCTTGGTTTGGCTGCGTCCTTTCTCATGTGAGGATTCCGCAAGAGCAAAGATCCGCATCACTGAGGACAGAACACCACAGTATGTAGCAGAATCACTCCTCGCTCTCCCTTTTCGTATCACTTGTATCCAAGTGAAGGCCATTCCATTGCTCTTTTAGAACAGATCTTTGGGATGGCAAATGGAGAGGACGAGCCGGACTGGAAGCCATTTTGTGAAGGTGAAGGCGTTCCATTGGAGGCTTGTGGTGCCAAATTGTTTGAACCCTGTTGACCATTAACTGCTGGAATGAACCTGCTTTCTCTCTACCCAGCTTCAAACAAATTCATTATTCTCAGGATGCTCATGACAAATGCCCATGCCGAGAGCAATGCAAAGAACATTGCCACGAGGACGTCCTTATGAAGTATGACGTTGCTGTATTTTCCAGGTGGTGTTTAAACCAGGAAAATACAGCAACTGAGGATGAGGTGCATTTGCATGAATCGCTTCAGAAGAGTCCGAGTATTGCTGCATTTTGGTGCGTTTCCAGGAAGGCTTTTTGTCATTCCTCAGTTGCGGTCCTCGAGTCTCCAGAGGCGCGTCATGGGCTGACGCTAGACGAAACTGAACTGACGCGACTGAGGCTACGGCACAACGGCATCACAACACGTCCATCCAACCTACTAGCGATGGCCTGCAACCTTTTGTGTTGCAAGGACTTGTGGAACCAGCTCCAGAGCCTGGAAGCTCCTGAGTGATGCTAGGTCCTGAAGCGAGAAATTCGCACATGGAGAGGACAAAGACGATACAGATATCCAAGATTCTGCACTGACACACAAGGTGACTCCTTCAACAGCTTTGTCACCCTAGCAGCTGCTACATTGATTGATTCCTGGATGTACGGATATATACAGTATATATATACAATGGTCAAATATGTTAATTTTAGAATACTTTGCTTTTGCAAGACAGCACCACTAAGGTCAAGCACATGTATCACAACCGACCCTGCTGAAAAGTGGCAAGGGTCACAGACCCATGGCCTAATGTGCCTCAGCAAAAAGCCCAGCGCAGCTTTGACAAACTTTGGTCGATTTATGAGAGGCTGTTTACACCGCAAAATAGAGCGGGGCTTGGCACCGCCATCCATCTCAAACTGGGACCTTGCAGCATATTAGCTTTTGCAGGTAGACGATGCTTCATCTCAAGACATCTCAAGACAAAGAATCTGTAGACACAGTGTGTAAAGGCAGCCAATTCTGAGCGAGGGTGACACTTAAAGACAAACAAAACCACCACGGATAGCCCAACCAGTTTTGGCCTCTTTTTGCCTCGCCACGCTAAACGCCTACTAAACGCCATGTCTCGACAGACAATTCAAACTGAACGGCTTCTTTTCCTGGTGGGTGCATTGATTTTGGGACTCTGCGGAGAGAGTCCTTGGTCAAGTTGGTGCTTCTCGCCTGCAGCCTATTTGACAAGCTGGGAGGCTTCAGAACGGGCCCGCTGCAAGGCTGGTGGAACACCAATTGGACTTGCACCTGTCGGAGAGATTGACAATCGGCAAGACTTGAAAGATGCAATTCTTGGCTTGAGAAAGGAAATGACAGGCTTAAGGCTGGGCATCATGGCACCCAATGCAGAGGCAGCATCTGAATCCTTGAAAAGATGGTTACTTGCTCTTGGTTTGCCAGCTACTGAAGTTCGGCTTGTTGACGAGCAGAATCAGCCAGCAGACTCTAGCATATCTGGAGCAGTATATTTGAAGTACAGCTATGCCATGTCCGACAACTCTGGAGATTCCAAGGTCGGTGCCTACATGAAGCCCTACCCATTTGCCGGCCGAGGGGTCCTTTTCAATCCAGACCTGCCAGACGGAGAGATGCACATGTATGGAGATTTCCCACTGGCACTCTTCGAGGAATGATGGTGGATGAAGTGAACTTTCCTCAGGGGTCATAGTGAGCCAAAGATGTAGCTTATTGATGCTTGTGGGTGGTAGCTCAGCATCGCCATCAAAAATAATAAAGACTGCTTTTCCAAAACGGTCCAAACAGAGGCGTGCTGGTGTTCACGATAGGCCTCCTTGGGCACAACATACACAGTAGTTGAAATCTGCAGCCTTGGTTCAAAGGTTCAAAAAAAGTGACACCATTTAGTGCTGATGGTTGAACGTGTCAATTTCGGAGCTTGCCACTCCAGTTTTGTCAGATAGCAAAAGCAGTGGCATTTTGTTCTCCTGCCGGACCCTGTTCATGCTTCGGAAGCTGCTGATCTTTCTCATACCTGTTGCAGTTCTACTATGGCAGATTGGAGGCAGCTCAGAATATCAACCACGCGTTTCGTTGGGATACTATTTTATAGCTGTTTCTGTGCAAGAGCTCTGTGTCGTTCAATCATGGCTGCAGCGTCAACATGCTTGTTCGTATTGCGTCGTCAGGTCCAACAGGTGCTGGTCTGAAGCTTCATCTGGCATTGTGGCCACTCTCGGTGTCAGCCCTGTTGATAGAGGCCGGGTGGGGGATTATGAAGTACCATCGCTAGTAGGTTGGAGGCCATCGCTAGTAGGTTGGAGGCCATCACTAGTAGGTTGGAGGCCATCGCTACTAGGTTGGAGGCCATCGCTACTAGGTTGGAGGCCATCGCTACTAGGTTGGAGGCCATCGCTACTAGGTTGGAGGCCATCGCCCTTGGGTTGGAGGACATCGCTCTCAGGTTGGAGGCCATCGCCAGTAGGTTGGAGGGTGGAGGCCATCGGTTCGCTACTAGGTTGGAGGCCATCGCTAGTAGGTTGGAGGCCATCTCGGTGTCAGCCCTTTTTCTTAGGAGGGGGCAGGCCGTGAGGAGGAGTAGCTTACGAGTAAGCTAGTAGCAAATAAGAGGGGTTTGAGAAGCTAGTAAGTGCACCGTCACTGGGCCTGGAAGCACTTTCTGCTTAGGTTTCTTCAAGGACCCCCCTGCCTGAGGGCTGCGGGGAGCTTCCTCGAAGAAGCCCTCGCATGAATGATTTGATTCCTAGATTTTTAGGAAGGCTTCACTTTGCTGTTGAGTTTCTATCATCCTTCACTTTTCTTTGATCCAGGTGTTTATTCTCGGCAAGCGCCGTTCTTGCTTGCGCTTCATACCCCTGCTGCTTCTGCTGGATGCCCAAGCTCAAAAAAGACAGTGAAGATGAGACACCCCTGAACGAATATGGGAGTTTGTTTAGCATACTCTAGTAAGTTGACTGGTTCCCAGTGATGGAGATTTCTGCAAACTTTGAGCCGGAATGTCTTTCAGAAGCTTGGCCCAAGCTTTTTTAGGTGGTTGAGTGGTTTTTCTTAGGCGTTGCAGCCTTGTCAAGTCGAATTCACTGAGGCTATGGGCAGCTCAAGTGGTGCTGCTACTGGTGACGCTGTTGCCAGAAGTCATGCATCCGAATGTATGTTTGGCATGTTGCTGTTTGGACGGCAAGTCCGAAAGAACAGATTCCGTTCTTTTCGCATCAAGTAGGAGCAAAGGGCATCGCTACCAGGAGCAAGGACGCTACTAGGACGCTACTAGAAACAAATGGCATTGCTACTAGGACCAAGGACGCTAGTATGCTGTAGAAGTCTTCCGATGTTTCCTTGCCAGGTGCGACACTTTCCTCGCCCAGATGCAGGTTTGCACGAAGGAGGGTCTCATGCGAATCTCGAGGAGTGACTGGAGTTGGTAGGAGTGCCTCAGAGAAAGTGGGAGAAGTCTTAAGGGAAGGAGTTGAGGGAACTAAAGCCTCAAAGTGCCAACACAGCAGTTTCTCAGGACTTGCAGCCTGTTGGACATCATTGGTTACAACTCTTCGAAACGTCTTCTGCTGTTGATCAGCAAATCTGGCTACATAATTAAAATAAACAGAGACAGAACTGGCCGGAAACTGCGTGCCTTGCAGAACCATCATGAAATATCATGAAGCTAGTACGAAACACCGCGGTTCCACGGAATGCAACAAAAGAAGGCAAAGACCCTTTTTGCTCTGTTTCCCCGAGACAAGAAGAGCAAAGTCGAAAGCCATGCCAGACTGTCCACCACGTTACGATGCCACCAGAAAGGTTACGGCTTCTACATAAAGTTCCTTCAGAATTTGCAATCACAACTGCTTTACAATGTCTCATTCAGAAGCTGAGGATGCTGCTCAAATTGTGAAATGTTAAAATGAAATAGAATAGACTGCATGCCTGCCTTGATTTGAACGCAGGAGTCCTTCGGTGGGCACATGCCAGATCGAGGACATGCGCCAGTGATGGTTGCAGCTGGTTGCACCAATTTTGTAATTCCTTGGCTTAGGTTGGAGGCCATCGCCAATAGGTTGGAGGCCATCGCTACTAGGGTTCTAACCATGGCACGCCACTTCACCACAGAGGGCCTTTTGAACTTCCGATTGTGTCCGTTCAGATCGCGACCCAGCTCACTGAGCTTGCAGGAAGCATCGAGACAATCTCTGTAGTTTTACCCTGTGCAGAAGAGAGGCAAAATGCCACTTGGCATCAGACACTGGGAATAAGGGCAGCTTGCCAATGGACACCGAGCAATGTACCTAAGACTCAGATCCGCGAAGTTCGTAACCAAACCACTGGCGTCTCAACTTTCAGTTTGCCAAGGCCATTTTGACGGTCGAGCGCTTCTGCAGGAGGACATCTCCAGACGTGCTCAAGGAGAAACAACAAAGATCAACAAAGCATTTGCTTGGCACATAGGTGAGCGTCCGGTTCATTTTGCCATACACATGTATTGTTTCCAGGAAATCATTGTGGTAGACGATGGATCAGATCCGCCTTTGGAAAGTCTCTTCAAGAAAGATGAGAAGAGGTTGGATCAGGAGAGTTTGCGCTTTGGTAGCTCCGAGGAACATGCTATTGCCACACGTATCTAACGCTTGCCATTGTTCTTATGTTTGTGCGTAACAGGAACGGAAATTCTTATCCGAACAGTCTTTCGTGCGACAGGATCCTGCTTGCCGCGTGCGTTTCCTTCGTCATAATCAGACGACGGGTCTCATGGCTGCGAAGCTGACGGGTGGCCGCGAGGCGATTTGGAAAAAGACAACGGACAAAGTACTATTTGTTTAAACATGTTTTTTGCTATCACAAGCTATGCATTTTGTCGATGCTCTCAAGCCAGGGTAGCGGTACTACTGAATGAGTTACTGAATGCTAGTGAAGGCATGCTTTTTTGTGGAGGCCAAAGGCGATGTCATTGCGTTTATCGACTGCCACTGTGCTCCCCAAGCCAATTGGTATCAGGAGACTCGCAGTCCGACCGGCCGTAATTACACATCGGAGCATTTGCAAGAAAACCGGAAGTTTCTTATAGTTTCTTGCTTGAAGATGCTTGAAGTTGAAAGCCGGCAAAACATATCAAAACATACACAAGGCGTGCCTGCAACGTTTTGCAAACCCATATTCTTTAAATTCGGACACCCTCCAAGCAAGGAAAAAGTTTTACAACTGAATGAAGCTTATATAAACATATTTGTGCTTTCCAAGCACTAGGGACTTTGTTCAAAGCCTTAATATATATATATATATATACGCCGTTTCCCTCGAGGAAATACTGGAGCAAGTTAGCGTCTCGACCTGCAAGTTAAACCAGTGAAAAAGATGTAGTTTTACATGCAATAGATATTGTTGAGATTCGGAGGCAGCGAACTGCTTGAAGTTGTTGCTGCAAGCAGTCTTTTGCAGTTACAGTGAGCTCAGCGAGCTGAATCACCGAGGAATCAATCCACGAAGAATGGTGGTGCCTGCCATTACTGACCTTGACATGGATATTTTTGATGAAAGAAAGGACAGCCAGGCATTCTGTGGCATGCTATTGATGGCTCCCGTCACGTGATACTTGTGGTTTCAGAGAGCAACTTCCATTGTGCAATGACCCAGCGTTGCTTTGGTTGCTTGGCATTTCGTTCGGCAGGTCAATGCCAAGTGCTACTTGACTTTCGAGCCCTGTTTGCATCAACATGGGTTTGCTTGATAGGTTGCCGTAACATGGTGGTGGATTCTCTTTTTTGCTAGACAAAAACGAGCCAACATTGTTCTTCTTTGCCTTTGGCAACCTGTCAAACAGTTTTTGTGTCTGGTGTTCTTTCTCGTCACCGAACTGAGCTTACGTTGCTTGTTGCGAGAAGAGTGTGTCAGTTCCACATGAGGATAGATGAGATAAACCTACAAAGACGTGTTTTCTGCAAACCCCAAACAAAATAATCGTTCGTGGCCAACAAACATCAATGCCAACCACCCACCCACCCACCCACCCACCCTGTGAACGTCCCGAAGCAAGTAGATGCATCAAAAACAATGAGATGACATCAATGAAAAGACGATGTGTATTATGCAAGAGCAGAAAAGATCACTTACATTTGTTACATTTGTGTCGAACATGTGGAAAACATGGAATACAACCACCAGGAGACCTGTAAAACCGCCAGCATTTACATAAGTATGACGGAGATGGAACACAGTTTGTTTCCTCTTTTGGCCGTGAAGGAAAGGTGGAGATGAATAAGCTGAGGATGCCGATTTCAAATGGTTCGATGATGAGTCAGATTTCATTCCTACCATCAGCGGTGGTTTGGTCGCTATGGGACGTAGCTGGTTCAACCTCACTGGTGGCTTTGACGAGGGAATGCACGGCTGGGGTGGTGAGAATTTGGTCGTGGCCTCAGAGCTTGTGCCTAGCTATGCTTGGAACTAGCAGCTTCTTGTTACTAGTAGTAAGGCACTTAGCTACTAACAGCGACTTGTTCCTAGTAGCGATGCACCTTGTTACTAGTAGCTATGGTCACAGCGTTGGCTGAGGACCAGTCGCTAAGAGCTTGGCTGTGTGGTGGTGACATTGTTCGAGCCAAAAGCAGCCGAGTAGCGCATATGTGGCGCACTGGTGACCGACGTACTGTCCATTGCCTCAATCAAACTGCCAAATTTGAACCAGAAACGTGGAGTACAATCTGAGTACCTGTTTTGCCCTTGAGGGCAGTGCTTTCACATTAAAAGGTTCAAATGTCATATCTCGCAACACATAACGGGAAAAGGCAACTGTGAGTCTAGGCATGTTCATTGTGATTGTTGTTGTGACACCAGACTGAGCTGGCTAGCTGCGATCCTAGGCCACTCACTATCGCATCAAGGTGCAATCAAAGTGACTTCTCCAGCTTCAAAGTGTAGTGCATTGATCAATCCACCCAATAGACAACAGATTTTGGTGAAGCCACACAGAGTTTGTCAACAAGTGAAGTAAAGTGAAAGGCAAACGATGCCCAAAGTATGCCCATTCGTGCGCAGGCAAAGGCTACGAACAACCGTGGCCGAGTGATTGCTGCGTGGTTTGGGCCATTCAAAGAAGTGGCTCGCAGCACCCTGGAGGCATCGCTCACAGGTTCGCACTTGCATTATGGACGACAGATGTGCATAAATTAATCATAGATGTTTAGTTTAGAGCGTATGAGCGTATATAAGCTGCACAAGTGAACACAAATCATATAAGGCAGTGCACGTAAGAATGCATCGTGGTTGTAGGACATGCGCTTTTTGTATGAGACACAAAGACTCTCAAGGATATCCCTGAGCGTCATTGATTTCCTAGTGAGTGTCGTCGATGTTGTTCTCAAATGTCTTCAAGGTCCTTGGGTGGATTGTCATGGATTGTCATCTTGACCGACCCTGAGTCAGTCTTTGTCTTCACTACCCCTGAGTGTCTTGTCTACGTCTAGTGTGTCCTTGAGCGGCTTAGTTTTGTAAAGTCTCAAGAAGTGGCCCATTAGGTTGGGAGGCCATCGCTATTAGAAACAAGAGAAAAAAGAACAGGAAGAGGGCCTATTGCTAATAGCGATGGCCTCCAACCTACTAGAAGAATCACTGTAACTAAAGTCTCAAGAAGTGGCCCGTTGACAGCGAGCAATTTGTTTCAGCCATACGGTGGGGAATCTGTTTCCTGTGGTATCTGTGGTGGTGCCCGCAGGAGATGCAACTTGCCCAACAATTTTGAAAAGCATGGGGCTTCACCACGTGCCATCTCAAGTTCAGGACCCCCAAAGTTTCCTGGTCCTGTGCTCAAATTGTTTGTCCTGCTGGGGAAAGCTGGTCAACTTGTTAAGGCACCCTTTTTTGAATCTGTCCGTCGTCCCGAAGATGATCCTCTCTGATCTAGTGAGGCCTCCCTCCAAGCGAGCCCTTGCCCACCTCCATGTTTCCTGGATGATGTGTGTGTCTTTACGAGCTGCCCCTACCCAGACGAATTCCAAATAACGGAAAACTGCAACGCACGTGCATGATCGTGGGAGTATGGGCCAGTATGGGTAATGGATGAGTGAGGAGCAACGGCAGAACATTGTACTCGTAGAACTTTCGTTTGGAAAAGGTGTTGCGGGAGTTGCGGGAGGGGTGCAGGAGGGTCCCCTGTGACGTGAGGTGCTTCTGGGAGGAGGTGGTTCAGTCCTGTTGCATCGGGGTGCTTAGTAACTTCCTTGCTCCTAGTAGCGATTCCCTTTGTTCCTAGTAGTTTCTTGCTACTAGTAGCACTGTCAGGAGCTACTAGTAGCGTCCTTGCTCCTAGTAGTCTGTGAGATTCAAAACAACGTGGTGAATGTTGTGTGTCCTTGTTCCAAGGTAGCGGTGTGGATGAGGCGGGATGCCATTTCTTGAATCTCTTATTGCATTTGTTCGGAGTTGGCAGGCGTTGGTGCAAAACTACGCCAGCTTCAAGGAACGGCCAGATCCCAAGCAAAGATTTGACCATGCTCAATGCCACTTTTAGTCCCAATTCCAAGAGCAGGGGTCGACGACTGAAACAATAACATGGTTTAGCTGGAGTGAGCCTGCTTTGCTTTCAACCCCCGTGCACAAGGTGGTCAAACCCATTGCAGTCCAAGATTTCTTAGGTTTCCACATATTATGAGCAACCACCATTGTTTTGTCTTGACAAACATAGTTCACGGCATGCTTTATTTTTGTCCCACATCAGTATTCGCTGGTGAACGAGATCGGGCCCCCACATAAATCAGATACTGTTTGAGGTCAGCGATGACATGTGATTTGCTAATATTTGCTACTAAAGTAGTTTGAACATTTTGAACCAGATACTGTGACACGACCTCCTACCAAAGCAAGCCAAACGAGATAGGGCCCCACATAATACATAGATTTTTAGAGTTTAGTAACCTGAGTCTTTGACTGCTGACAGTCAGACAAGCAAAACAAAGGCAAGGAACCACTGTTGCGTAGAAGCATGTTCACAATGCTTGTGACTTTTCTCGTTTGTGCTTTTTGTTTGTGCTGTTCGGTGTCACAAGCTTTGCCACTAGCAGCACATTCTGCTTCTTTGAGGCTTCATTGCAGGCGCAGCATCCTGGGTAGCAGTCTTGAGTTTGACAGTTGGAGCCACACTCAAGAGGCGTACAGGAAATGTGGAGGACTCGGCTTCCACAAGAAATTTTTCAGGGTAAGCAGCAAAGGCACCGAGGCAACAGAAGACCTTGATGTGTTTCTTGAAGCATTCCTGTAGGAGGACCTATTCTTGTAGGACTTGAGGCCAAATTCTAGGTCCCTTGTGCCAGGCCCTTCAGCTACTTCATTTACCGCTTTCGCAAACTGTACCTTGAAGGCCTGTGTTTAAACGTGTTCGCCTTTAGGCTCTAGGCCTCTTGATGCATTTGGACATCAGGTGGGGTGGTGGCCAAGGAGTCTTTTAGGCTTCAAGAGGCCGTTTGTGCGTGAGTTTCACAAGTAGCCTTGCGAGCACGGAGGACATCAGACATGATCGCTAGTAGGTTGGATGCCGTCCATTTTGCATGTTTGACAGGCTTCGAGCGGTAAATGCCTGCAAGCATCCAAGCATCTAGGCGCTGGAGAAATCAGTGACAGGTGTAAACAGTCTTCTCACTGCTTCGTTCTTTAAGCAAGCAGGCTTCTTTTCCATTCCTATTGCATTTTAGTTACTTCCCGGATATACACGTTGACACCCACCACAGATTCAATTCCTCATAGAGCTTGGCTTCGTAGCTTGTAAGCAGTTTTTGATCTAAAGAACGAGTACTTGACTTAACAGATTCGGTGCTGTGCTCCTGTTGTTAGCTGCTTTCCAAGAAGCTCCGGTGTCGCACAGCAGCTTGTGGTCGGAACTTTAGTTAGTGTATCCACGAGTATGATGCGCACAAAGGGCAAGATGCTGCTTCCACCAAGACATAGGTGCCATGTGTTCTAATCTTGTCAGCTTGATTACTTGTTTGCCCGCTTACCCGCTTTGATTGATTTATCATCATTGCATAATTCAAGCATACCTCACCTGCAGTCGCACAAGAAACATCCCGTCATGATCCAATGACTACTTGTATTTGCTAGAGCACCCAAAAATGTGTCTCTTAGGTATGTTGCCTCCTGTGCGAAAGAATCTGGACATGATTTTTTTTTGTGGGCAACAACAAAAGCTTGAAATCATGCCAAGGTCAAAGGTACCAGATGTTTCAACTGAAAGTCGCATGCCTCCTTGCTGTACGTCCATATATGGAAGTCGCAACATAAAGTCTCCATGGACAATCTACGTGCACAAAGATGGCTTGATGATGTGAAGCTTATTTCAATTGTTCTCTCAATTGTTCTCTGAATCTAGCTGCGGACTTTCACAGCTTTTCATATCACTTAAACGATAAACCAGTGTCTCAACGTAAGTCAAATGATTTGCCACAGTCTGTTCGAGGCACCTGCAGTTCGATGCAACGGTTGGTGCTTGGCAACGTTGACAGGCAGTTCCTGTGAGGAATCAGCATGTGCAGCCGTGGATCGGGTTGAAGATGCCCTCAAAGCACTTCGCAGTAGAAGTGTCCAGCTCATGACGCCTGGAAGAGCTCTGGCAAACTATACAGTAATTAAACATAATTCATCAAACATATATATATATGTCGGTGCGGTCGCCCCACCAGGGGCATCGCAGCGGCGCCTTTCTACGCTCCAGCCTAAAGGTTCCGCTAGACATGGCGTCCGACCATGTGCTCATCACAATTCACACTCCTCAAAATCTATATATGATCCAAGTTTTCAATGGCCTTCATGGCCAAAGCGACGGGCTTCCTTCGAGCCTGGATACGTCACTCCGAACTTGGAAATTCCGGGGCTATACTGGACTGCCTTCAAATATGCACGGATGTCATCCATCTTCGAGGATTTGACTCCGCTGTTGGTGACCCATGTCAAGTAATCCCTCATTTCTTTACACGAGTCAGCTTCTGTGATCATCATATCGTATGTCATCTCACGTTTGGCTACCTTTGGTAGCTCACAAATGGTGGAGCCCCACTGCTTCAGTGACTGAAGACCTTCAGGCAGGCGGATCTCTGTTCCAGCATGAGAAGAGTAGCCGACCTGACGTGGAAGCACCGGTGCTTGACTCATCTTCTTTGGGGTCGGAGTCAATCACCTCAAACTGATCCAGCTCTTCCTTCGCAGACACCACAGAACTCGTCAATCTGCGTTTTGAGCTGTCATTCATCGATCCTTGCGCTGTGTCGGCCGAAGTGGAAGCGGATGCTTCGTGCAGCAGCTGCTCCAATTCACCGCTCTCGTTCAAGGCTCGAACTAGCTGCTTGAGCTCTTCTTTAGAGAAATTTTGGTACATGGCTGACACGTCACCTAGAGTTGAGGAGGCAATCGGAGAGTCTGATCACACCGAGAAAACTGTGCCCTCTTCGCACTTGATTGCTCAGATTCAATTATATGCATTGAAACACATGTCTTTATCACATCGAGTAACGCAAAAGCATCTGCAAAAGAAAGTATATATATTGTGTTACGAAATGCTCACATTTCCACAATGCGTTTCCCCTCACATTCGTACCCCAGAATGTGCGCTGGGCGCTCACCAGCCCTTACCCAAAACAAGAGAAACGATCCGAGCGGCCTGGACATGCAGAGTAGGACGAACCGTGACTATCGACAAAAGCAACCAAACAAACAAAAAGAAGTCCTGCATCACACAAAACAAATCTGGCAAACAGAAAACTCAACTGGCGTCCAAATGCACTCAGTCTGCTATTCTCTAAACAAAAAAACCCATCCTACTGAATTAGGAACCCTTCTGTTTCGGCTTGCTTCTCCTTAGTGCTGCTTCTCGTGCTTCATGCAATGCCCGTCTTGCTACTCGTGCTTGACGTTGGTTCTTTTTTAGCTCCAGGATCATGGCTTCAGGATTCAACTGGTATTCCCCCACGGACAGTGCCGCCCGCAAGAGATCTGCCGGATCCTGCTGGTCCTTTGTTAGAGCGTCTGCGAGCATGAGTTGTGTTGGGCACCACCTAACCACGAGACCTGTTCGAGACATGCACTGTTTGAGTATTGCAAGGTCTATTGCTATCCTTTTATCTTCGCACTTACTAACTGATGACATGGATATCATATGGTCATATAAACTCTTGCAATCTGTGACACCCACGACAGGAACTAGGTCCAGCTCATCACGGCATTTCAAATTTGACACTCGTGGCTGTGTTTGCACTTGCTCTGTTGTCCGAAGATCAAATCTGCCATGCTTTGCTTCTGCTATGAGCAAGCTCATCCACTCAGCCGTAGCACTAGCTGTCGTGAAAGCCTGTGCCTCCCCAGCTAGTGTCGAGGCCACCACTCTTGGCAATTTGTATGACCGCCAAGCAAACGGAGACCAGCTTGCTGCCTCATTCTGTACTAGTCTTTTGTTCACAAAAGCTGCAATGAACCCTGCCTGTGTCTTGTGTTGCTTTGCATTACCAAAACCTGCATCTGAATGGAAACAGATAGCCAAATCTTCCCATGGAATGCTCTTCACTGTAACATCTGTATGACTAAACTGTTTAGCCCGATGCACCAGTTGGTTTGCAAACAACAAATCCCGAACTCTAGGTTGTGGAAAGCTCTGTTGTGAAAAGGAGGTCTGAACGCACAGATCTGGTCTTGACTGCGAACTAAGCCAATTGCATGCTCCGTTGATTGCCCTCAAGGCTGAGATCTCCCGGTCAGTTGCCAGAGACTCTTTGTCCTTCAGCCGTTCTTTAGAGAGAGAAATGGCCCGAAGATGTTCTGCATATTCTTTTTGATGGTACGTGATCTCAAAACTTCGCATGTCTTGGCTATATTGCACCCCACAAAATTCACCATTGCCAACCCTCCATTTTCTGTACGGGAAATGAGTCTTCAACGCTTGAATTGCTGAATCGTAAGTTGCCCCGTGTCCCCCCGTGATGGTGTCGTCTACATGGGCTCCCATCACACCACACATGGCTCCCTGATTCAACGGATCCGGAAGGTAGTATAAACAGTTGTCAAACTGAGAACGAACCCAACCAATCTTTCTTGCAGTCTCGTCGAACTTAAACCACCAGTTGAAAGGGGCGTCATTGGACCCGTAGACGTTGCCTGTGACCTCGATCACATCATCCGGACTGAGTCCTGGGATCCCTCCTGGAGGTTGATGCGCGTACAAAGGACTAAATTTGGGATTCAAAGGTCCTGCTTCCAGAAAAGCCCCCTTGATGTCTCCTAGCTGCATCGTCCATCGCTTGCTAACTAGAATTTGTAAAATCAATGATCTTGACAAAGGGTGAAGTGTGGGACTGTGGCAAGCCCCTGACTGGATCTTCTCCTGGAAGTCAGGGTCCAAGTGCCCTTGTAGGCACCAGCGGCTCTTGACTCGCTCCCCATCCTCATCCTTCTTGTTGATCACAACAAAACGACTGCCAATGAACCGATGTCCAAAACGCTCTTTGATCTCTTTGGCTTTCTGTCCAGTCCACACACGAACAGCTTGTTTCCCTGACAATGTCTCCCATTCTGTAATCTTGGATCCATTAACCTTCTCTTGGATGTCGGATGGGTTGCCAGTGGACGGAATCTCTTTTGCTGCTCGCTTCTGCAAGAATCCTGCTATCAATGCTTCGACATGACTCTGGCCACTTCGCACTGGAACCTCCTCTTCTGGAGAAACAAATGAACACAGCAATGCCTCGTCCTCATATCGTTCAGTTCGACTGCGAGTGCGTGGTCCGTCATCAATGTCGGCACTGGCCTCTCTCTTGCTACTAGTGCCTCTGGGACTGAAGCTCTCGGTCTCTGGTGTCTCTAGCAACGAAGGAATAACCTCTTGCAGCAACTCTGACAGATCTTCCTGTTGCATCTCCATGGGACGAAAGAGATATTCCGGGGGTGACTTGACTGTGTGTCGAACCCGTCTGATGGGACCATAATCCTCTGTACGACCTAACGGTGTCCAGGAAGACGTTCCCCCCAATCGAGAATACGGCCCATGTTCTGGTGTTGTCTCATCTGCATTGTAGTCTTCCTTTTGAGTCTTGGTCTCATTCACGACCGCTTCACTCCACAAATCGGCCGCGGATCGTGCCGCGGAATGCCAGCCTTCTGCCCGGTCAGAAATTTCTGGGGATGGCGGAAGTGTGGTATTGACCAAATCGACAAACTGTCCTTTTGGAAATTGTCCCTTTTCCAACAAGTTCTTGATTCCCAGCAATTCGTTGTCATCAAAATCTGCAACTGTTTTCTCTTCTGAGGTTGCATGCCGTAGATGTTCTGGTGAACAACGAAACAAACTTCGTCTGCGCGCAACAATATAGTTCACCCCCAACTTACCCAAAATCATGCCAGCCCCATGCCAACGACCTCCCCTTAGCAACTGCCCGTCTGACCACTTTTGTGATCTCCAGTAGTAAACCCAGTCACCTGAGCAGAAGTCCTGGCGGAGTCTTGGGCGAGCTCGGATGGCCGCCTTCAAGGCCTTGTGGTCTTGGCATTCCAGCACCGCTTGTCGAGCCGCTTGCCGCGCGAGATGTGCCCGATCGAACGGCGAGTCGCTCTCGGTGGCGTCAACTGCGGGTAAGTGTGGATCATCTTGCAACAAATCTTGAGGGATGCGGGGATTGCGTCCAAAAACAATCTGAAAAGGGCTTGCTCCTGCTTCTGTAATCAGGGTGTTTTTGGCTATTTGGGTCTGAAGAACGTTGTCAACAAACTCTTCGGCATTCTTGGGTGGATGCTCTTCACATACCCGAGAAAATATCTTTTCGAACCAGCCTCCATGCCTCTCGACTTTCCCCAGCTGCCAATGTGAGTCTGCAGCTGTGTGTAGGAGATCTATACCAAGTCCCTCACAGTATTCTCCCAAAGCGTCACTCAGGTTTGGTCTGCTTGGGTCCAATTCCAAAACCTTTGGGGGTCCGGCCCATGCAATCCAGGAGTCCCGCAGAACACCCTTCAACAACTCAGCGTTTTCTTTCTGGAAAATGGGTGCCATTATGTGCAATGACGATGCATAGTCAACAATGCTGATGCACGGAACTCTCTGATTGGGTTTCCAGCCGGGGAGGTACTTGACGTCCATCCCAACTCGCGCGTTAAACTCCATGATTCTACTAGTCTTAGCAGGTAGGGATGCGCGCGGAAGCTTATGGTTACTACACACGGTACATGTGAAGTTCTTTGCTACCTCCAGAGCTTCTTTAGAAGCCTTACTATGCTGCAAGATACGCACCAAATCCCTGTTGTGTGGATGGCCGAGGTTAACATGCAATTTCCTAACAGCTCGCAACACACTGGGAGTACCTTGGGTGTGATCAGCATGTATGACCTCCGCGTCTTCTTGCTCTGGTCCGGCCCTGTCTCCTTCGATCTCACCAATGAGACACTCTGCACCTTCGCACTCAGCCAAGTCGATAAAGTCGACCACACTCACATGTTGTTGTGCTTGGCAGGCTTTTAACATGGCCTTAACGAAAGATGGGGTGTACTCTGCTGCAAAGTCGCTCACGTTTTGTCCTGAGTTCAGTTTTCCTTCAACCAAACGATGTTTCTCACCCCCTGACACTGATGGAAATGAGTGGACTCCTTGATGGATGAAAGGATCCCCGTGGCTTTTCTGATGGGGATACCCGTGTCAGGACACTTCAACCCGTAGGCGCACATGTCAACTCTGCGGACTCCATACTTCCTACGAAGAGTGATCATGTCCCCATAGTCCCACACTTCGGAACCCCACGGATGCTCAAAGATAAAATCACCACCTCGACTTATCTGCTTGCGAATCTGTTGGAGAGCAAAGCGAACCTGATCTCTAGATGCTCGAATTAGCAAGGCTGTCTCGACAGGAGACCGCTTGGTCCTATTCAAATGCTCCCACCCGCCTCGATGCGTGCATGGTGGACACGCCACCAAAAGTCGAGGGCGGACGCGATCGAGTTCCGCATCCGCTTGCGACTTCACATTTGATTTGGAAAGGTCCCACCCCTGCTTAATATCATATGCTATCCCTTTCCCCCCCTGACGAACAGCCTCAGTGGAAAAACGAGGAGGAGAAAATAACTCAGCAACCATGATACCAGCATCTTCGGTCTGGGAAACACGTTTCATCTGAGCAAGCAAACATCTACACTCTTTCTTTTTCAGTGTGATTTTTGTCTTCTGTTTTTGACTTGAGCCCTGCGCCTTCTGTTCAACTTTCTGCTGGTCGTCCTCTGTAGAACGAGCTGTGTCTCTGTCGTGTTGATCACCCCGAGGCTTCGGGGTAGCTGTTTCTCTCGCTGGATACGCTAGGACATCCACCAGCAGCTGACCAGCCTCATTGGTCTTGAGATCGGTCGT